GGCTAACGCATTATGATGATTAAGATTTAGATTGCTGCAACGAGCACCAATGGACTTGTTGCATCTTCTTCATAATTAAACTTAAGCTAGCCTTTCTTAAGCTGGTGCCCAACGTACGTTTCAGCGACGTTAAGCCAAAAACATCTGGGGAGCTCTTCTGCATTCATTGAAATGCAACGAACGTGTTGCGGGTGCTTTAAACGGGCCTTAATTATATCTGGAATCCCCCTCCAGCCTTTTGCAACGGGACATCTGGCAGTGTAAGGAAGGGACACAAAAAGACTGGAGAAATTCTAATTAGGAAGCAGCGAAAGCTGGGAAAGCGGGGTTTATTTTAAGACAGCATTAGTAGGATTTATGCTATTTCTGAGAATTGGGGGGGGGGGGGGGGGCAGTGGTTCTGCTTGCTATGTTTCTGGGGGGGGGGGGGTGTGGCGGGCAGCAGGGGTGGGGGGGGGGGGGGGGGGGGTGGGTGTAGGGGTGGGGGGGGGGGTGGGGGGGTGGGGGGGGGGGGGGGTTGTGGTTCTGGGGGGGGGGGGGTGGGTTGTGGGGGTGGGGGTGGGGAGGTGGGGGGGGTGGGGGTGGGGATGGTTGGGGGGGGAGGGGGAGCAGTGGTTCTGCTGTGCATTTGTCTGGGTCCTACTAAAATATGCTGCAAAAGCACCAGGTCTCTCACCCCAAAAAAGAAACCATGCGCTATAGCAGGTTTGGGCAAAACCAGCCCCTTGGGCTCTTTTCTCAAACCCTCCTTTCTCACACCATCTTATCCTTCCTTCTCTTTCATCCTTCCCTTCCTTCCTTACCTCCCTCTTTCTCCCTCCCTCCTTTTTTCACCCTTTCATCCTTTCTTCCTTCTCTCTTTCCTCCCTCCTTCCCCTTCTCCTTCCTTCCTTCTCCTTTTCTTTCCTTCCTTCCTTTCCTTTCTCCTTCCCTCCCTCCTCCTTCCTCCATCCTCCTTCCTTCTTCCTTCCTTTCTTCCTTCTCTTTTTCCTCCCTCCTTCCCTCCTACTCTTCCTCCCTCTTTTCTTCCTTCTTTCTTCCTTCTCTCTTTCCTCCCTCCTTCCTCTTGCTCCTTCCTTCCTTCATCCTTTTCTTTCCTTCCTTCTTTCCTTTCTCCCTCCCTCCCTTCCCTCCATCCTTCCTCCTTCTCCCTTCATTTCCCTTCCTTCTTCCTTCTCTCTTTCCTCCCTCCTACTTCTTCCTCCCTTCTTTTCTTGCCTTCCTTTCTTCCTTCTCTTTCCTCCCTCCTTCCCTCTTGCTCCTTCCTTCCTTCATCCTTTTCTTTCTTTCCTTCTTTCCTTTCTCCCCCTCCCTTCCTTTCTTCCTTCTCTCTTTCCTCCCTCCCTCCCCTCCTTCCATCCTTGCTTCTATTCTTTCCTTCCTTCTCTTTCCTCCCTCCTCCTTCTCCTTTTCTTTTCTCTTCCTCCCCTTCCTTCTCTTTTCTTTTCCTTCCTTCTTTCCTTCTCCCTCCCTTCCCTTCCCTCTATCCTTCCTCCTTCTTTCCTTTCTTCCTTCTCCTTTCCTCCCTCCTTCCTCCCTCTCTCCTTCCTTCCTTCTTTCTCCCTCCCTTCCCTTCCTCCTCCTTCCCTTCCTTTCTTCCTTCTCTTTCCTCCCTCTTCCCTCTTGCTCCTTCCTTCCTTCCCTTCTCCTTTTCTTTTCTTCTTTCTTTCCTTTCTCCCTCCCTCCCTCCCTTCCCTCCATCCTTCCTCCCATTCTTCCCTTCCTTTCTTCCTTCTCTTTCCTCCCTCCTTCCCTCTTGCTCCTTCCTTCCTTCTTTCTTCCCTCTCTTCCCTCCCTCCCTCCCTTCCTTCTCTTTCCTCCCTCCTTCCCTCTTGCTCCTTCCTTCCTTCTTTCCTCCCTCCCTTCCCTCTATCCTTCCTTCCATTTTCCCTTCCTTTCTTCCTTCTTTTTCCTCCCTCCTTCCCTCTTGCTCCTTCCTTCCTTCTTTCCTCCCTCCCTCCCTTCTCTCCATCCTTCCCTTCCTTTCTTCCTTCTCTTTTTCCTCCCTCCTTCCCTCTTTCTCCTTCCTTCTTTCCTTTCATTTCTTTCCTTCCTTCCTCCCTTCTTCTTCCTCCCTCCCTTCCCTCCTCCTTCCTTCCTCTTTCCTTCCTTCCTTTCTTCCTTCTCTCTTTTCTCCCTTCTTTCCCCTCTCCTTCCTTCCTTTAGTTCCTTTTATCTTTCCTTCCTTCTCCCTTCCCTCCCTCCATTCCCCTCCATCCTCTCTTCCTCTTTTATCTTTTTCCTTCCTCCTTTCCTCTTGAGGGATATTTAGCTTGGAGAAGAGAAGATAGAGAGGGAGCATGAGATTTCAGATTTCCAGATTTCAAAGGGTGTCCCATTGAGGAGGAAGAGGAAGGGGGAAAACTGACATTCTGCTGCTCTAGAGACCAGGGCACAAGAAGGAAGCAATGGTTTCAAATAGAAGGGAAATAGAAAAGATTAGGAAGAACTTCCTGAGAGTAAGAGCTGTTGGAGAATGGCCTAGGTTGCTTGGGAGTTTGGTGGTGTCTCCTTCTCGGAGGGTGTCTATCGGGAGTGCTTTGGTTATGCATGGCAGGGGGTTGGACTGGATGACCTTTGGGGATCCCTTCTAGCTCTAGGATTCTGTATCAGGAGTAGAAAATATGGGGTTTAATGGAAACACTTTTCCTCTCCTGTCCACACCATCTCATCCTAACCAAGGCCAACCCTTTGGGGATCCAAACGTTTCCGTTCTTTCCTTCACTTTCTGCCTCCAAGTTAGAAAGTTTGCCCATGCCTGTGCTATAGCCATATCAATGTCTATGATAATCTGAAAAGATGGGTGCAAAGGATCCATCTTGCTGCCGATCCATATTCCTTTTCATTCTCAACCCCTGCAGTTCATCTACATCTGTTAATGCGGAGAAGCCATAAAAGCTGCATAATGGATGAACACAGATGGAGGGTTGTCATGTTGCCGAGCCAAAAAACCAGTGCAGCAATCTTTTCCATCAATTCCCCATTTTTTGGATTGAAAGTGGGGAAGGGAAAAGGCCGGAGAAGGAATGGCTGCAGACAGAAGACAAAAAGTTGCTCTGGGCCCGGCTGCAAAATTGTGTAAACAACGCAGGGCAATAAATGACTCATCTGAAAGCATCCTTCTCATCTTGCAAAGGAGACACAATGTGGAAAACCAAACAGCAGGAAGAGTAAATAGCTTGGTTTTGCATTCTGACTATATATAGCCTTAATTTTGTTGTCTTTTCAAAGTTGGGTTTATTAGAGAGATGACGGGCCAAAACTAACACAATGAAGGGACAAATGCAAGAGACTCCACTTAGGCCAGTGTTTCTCAACCTGGGGGTGTCAGAGGGGTCGCCAAAGAACATCAGAAAACACAGTATTTTCTAGGTTCTTGTGGGTTTTTTCGGGCTATATGGCCATGTTCTAGAGGCATTTTCTCCTGACGTTTCGCCTGCATCTATGGCAAGCATCCTCAGAGGTAGTGAGTTTCTCTCGGCTTATAGTCAGGTCAATGTTATTTAATATTTTACTCTGTTATTATTTATATTACATGTATTATTTTACTCTACGTATTATTATTATTGCATTTATTATTTTACTCAATTATTATTATTACATTATTATTTTACTTTATTATTGTTATTATTACATTTATTATTTTACTCTATTATTTTATTTATTTATTATTATTATTTATTTCGGTTGCTTCTACCCCGCCCTTCTCACCCCGGGGGGAACTCAGGGTGGCTTACAAAAGTAAGGCACAATTCGATGCCCGCATCACATAACAGCAAAGGACAATAACATCAATTAACAAGACAGCAATTCTAGCAATAACAACAATTAACAGAAAACAATAATTATTATAGGCAAAAACAACCATAAAACCAATAAAAGCAATAAAACCAATACAAACCTCATTGACGGTCAGCGTTTCACAATCTCATAGTTAAATTCCAATTCCACAATTGTCAGTCCTTTCAGTCCTATCCATCTGGTTTCCATATCTAATTGTCAGATTGCCCAAAGGCCTGGTCCCACAACCACGTCTTTACCTTCCTCCTGAAGGAGAGGAGGGATGTTGATGCCCTAATTTCCCCCGGGAGTGAGTTCCACAGGTGAGGGGCCACCACTGAGAAGGCCCTGCTCCTCGTCCCCACCAGCCTCACTTGTGATAGCGGTGGGGTCGAGAGCAGGGCCTCCCCAGATGATCTCAGATTCCGGGGTGGGACGTAGAGGGAGATACGTTCGGACAGATACACAGGACCGGAACCGTATTATTACTGTTATTACATTTACATTATTTTACTCTATTATTATTATATTATGTTACTCTCTTTATTCTTATTGGAAGGATACATAAGCACATTTACGTTGTTGAAGGTTAGAATCAGAGTTGGACAGTCTTATCTTAAATTACAGTGTTATGTAAATATTCAAAAACATTTAACCTTCTGATGCCTCAATTAATGTAATTTATTGGTATCTGTTTTTATTTTGAAACTGACCAGTAGCTGCTGTATTTCCCACCCTCGGCTTACACTCGAGTCAATACGTTTTCCCAGTTTTTCTGGTAAAATTAGGTGCCTCGGCTTATATTCGGGTTGGCTTATACTCGAGTATATACGGTACTAATCCTATTTCAGACATTTCCCACACTTCTATGAATCGTACAGAATTACAGTTGATTCCTGCTCACTTTTACCCATATTCTATTGGCTTACTGTTTTGCCAATGAGTTGCCAGAAAAAGGGGAAAGACAACAATACTTATATCAACCTTGAAGATAGGAAGGAAGGCAGGCACATACCAAATGAATAGGCTTCTCATGGCCAGTAAATTGCCAGCCATTTCTTTCCACAAACTCTTGAGCAACTCTGGGAAAAGTGCAATCACTCAACTAAGACACTAAAAAGATGACGGCATTCATCTCCTGCACTCTTCTCTCGTGAGTGACATTACGCCAAAGCAGAAGGCTGAAAGTACGCTCAGAACGCACAAACCGTAAATGGCCACACAGAGAACCCATTCGATTTTATTATTCTTATGATTAATTAATTTACAGTTGTGTCAGTGTCCAGGAAAAAAAAAACAGGCATTATGCATTCACCAGAGAGCTGTGAATACCCTGTTGACAAGAAGGAACCATTCAAGAGCTGGGGCAATTACCATTATTAATCCCACTCCCAGAAAAGGACCGAAAAGCATGGAACAGCACCAGGAGCCTGTTTTGCCTCTTGGGAGTCAGGCCGCATTAGGAGCGGGAGGAAAATGAGACCATTTTGCTGTCTTCACCAAGGACAGATAAGGACACAAATGGGGTAGAGAGAGGAAAAACGGGACTGAAGGATCCAAAACGAGTCAATCTTCATTTTAAAAAATGGATCCGACTCTATTTATTTTTTTCCTGAGTAGATCAAACACAACAAGGGGGAGGTGGCAGGACCAGGGGACCCAGTTGGCAACTTACACAGGCTCCAGAAAATAAAAGAGTCTCATAATAATTTGATGGTGCATGTGTATGAATGAAAGAGAGAGCAAGAGGGGTATGGAGTGAGAAAGAGAAAGAGAAAAGTTGGAAGAGAAAGCCGTGGCAATTTAGCGCTGGGATTCTTTTCCTAACCGGTCTCGGGTGAGATGCTGCCACGCTCGCTTCACCGACGTTGGTTCAGTCCTGTGAGGTTCTTTATCTAAACAATGCAGAAAAGAAGGATGCTAGATGAGGCAAACAAGCAAAATAGGTGTGCTATCATCATCAACAATGCCTTTGTTTATACCTCACAATCAGGTTCTGTTTGTGGCTTACTTAAGGGCAGCTTACTCATGCCTGTCTGTCTGTCCATCTGTCCATCCATCCATCCACCCACTCCTCCATCTATCTATCTTCCACATCAACGCACAGAGCTTGCCATCTATCTGTCCGTCCGTCCGTCCGTCCGTCCGTCCATCCATCCATCCATCCATCCATCCATCCATCCATCCATCCATCCATCTATCTATCACCTCAACATACAAGAGTGGATATCTATCATCTATCTATCTGTCTGTCTGTCTGTCTGTCTAGGTTCTTGTGGGTTTTTTCGGGCTATAGGGCCATGTTCTAGACGCATTTCTCCTGACGTTTCTCCTGACGTATCTATCTGTCTGTCTGTCTGTCTGTCTTTCTGTCTGTCTCCCACGTCAACGTCCAGGGGTTGACATCTATCTATTCCATCCATTCCTCTGTCTGTCTGTCTGTCTGTCTGTCTGTCTGTCTGTCTGTCTATCTATCTATCTATCTATCTATCTATCTATCTATCTATCTATCTATCTATCTCCCACCTCAACATACAAGGGTTGACATCTATCTATCTACCCATTCAGCCATCTATCCAGCCATCAATCTATCTCCCATGTCAACGTACAGGGCTTGACATCTATCTATCTATCTATCTATCTATCTATCTATCTATCTATCTATCTATCTATCTATCTATCTATCTATCTATGTAGCCATCCATCCATCCATCCATCCACCCATCTCCAACATCAACATACAGGGTTTAACATCTATCTATCTATCTATCTATCTATCTATCTATCTATCTATCTATCTATCTATCTATCTATCTATCTATAATCTCCCACCTCCACATACAAGGGTTGACATCTATCTACCCATCCAGCCAGCCAGCCATCAATCTATCTATCTCCCATGTCAATGTACAGGGCTTGACATCTATCTATCTGTCTATCTCTCTCTCTATATATATATATATCTCTACCTACCTACCTATTTATCTATCCAGCCATCAATCCATCCATCTCACACGTCAACGTAGAGGGGTTAACATCTATCTATCTATCTATCTATCTATCTATCTATCTATCTATCTATCTATCTATCTATCTATCTATCCCCCACCTCCATGTACAAGGGTTGACATCTATCTATCTACCCATCCAGCCATCCATCAACGTACAGGGCTTGACATCTAGCTAGCTAGCTAGCTAACTATCATCTACCCATCCATCCATCTATCTCCCACCTCAACGTACAGGGGTTGACATCTATCTATTTATCTGTCTGTCTGCTTATCTCTCACATCAACATACAGAAGTTGACATCTATCTATTCCATCCATTCCTCTGTCTGTCTGTCTGTCTGTCTGTCTGTCTGTCTATCTCCCACCTCCACGTACAAGGGTTGACATCTATCTATCTACCCATCCATCCATCCATCTCCCACATCAACGTACAGGGCTTGACATCTATCCATCTACCTATCTATCTATCTATCTATCTATCTATCTATCTATCTATCATCTAACTATCCATCCTTCTATCTCCCACCTCAACGTACAGGGGTTGACATCTATCTATTTATCTGTCTATCTGCCTATCTCTCACGTCAACGTACAGGAGTTGACATCTATCTATTCCATCCATTCCTCTGTCTGTCTGTCTGTCTGTCTGTCTGTCTGTCTGTCTGTCTATCTATCTATCTATCTATCTATCTATCTATCTATCTATCTATCTATCCTATCCCCACATACAAGGGTTAACATCTATCTATTTACTCATCCAGCCAGCCATCCAGCCATCCATCTATCTATCTCTCAACTCAACATACAGGGGTCAACATCCATCCATGCATCCATTTAGCAATTACCCCTTGTGGCCCATAAGTCTGATTGCCTTCCAAGGGAAGAGTCTTGGTGGTGGGTCTATATATGACTGTAGATTCTGGATCTGCATGATCTTTCTTTCACAATGACGACATCAATTTCCACACAGAATGAGAATAACTGCTCTGATGCAAAACCTTGCTGAGCCCTCCTCCAATCTGAAAATTCCCAAAGACAGGTGCGGCTGGCGGGAACGAGGGACAGGGCCTTCTCAGTGGTGGCCCCCCGGCTATGGAATGCCCTACCAGCGGACATCAGGCAGGCCCCTTCGCTATTGGCGTTTAGGAGGAGGGTTAAGACGTGGCTCTTCGAACAGGCGTTCGGATAAATATGCAATAACAACTGACTCAGGAATGACGGCACATTGAACAAGGAATGGTAATACGACTGTGAGATCGAGATCTGATTCTAATGAGGCGTGATGATTTTTATGTGTATTGTTTGTGTATGTTTGTTATATAGATTGTTCAGTGTTGCACATTTTATTGTAAACCGCTTCGAGTCGCCTTTTTAGGCTGATATTTGCGGTATACAAAAGAAGTAAATAAATAAATAAATAAATAAAAAGACGTTTCAGAGAGGAAACCATCTGCCCTTAGCATTACTTACGGTAACAGCAGCACCCATCAGTCCCTGGACAAGAGCCTCTCCTGTGGCTTGTACCTGGGAAAGACAAATACAAGGATGGTGAAACCTCCAATCACATACTAGTTCTTATTTAGATTTGTGGGGGGTTTTGCATGATAAAGCTTGCAGGAATAATTGTAGACTGAAGGCTGCCAAAGTGTGGCCCAATGTTGTAGTTCAGCTTGTGATTGTGTCTGATGTTCATGATGGAAATGGGGATGAAAGGTTTTCTGGGCCTGGGTTTGTTGGCAAGGGGATGAGGATTTTCCTGGGCTTGAGTGACAGAGCTTGAGAACGTGGAGGCGCATGGCAAATAAGGAGGTTTTTCCAAATGCTGCTACAGTGAGAAAAACTCACACAATCTTGTTTGGGGAGGCCAGATGCTAAAGCATTCAGTGTGCCAAGAGTAGCACTCAAGAATAATAGAATGCAGCTGCGACTATTATCCACTCAGAGCACATGGAAGCATCACGGAATCGTGAAACCATGTTGGAGAAAAGTGTGGAGAAATGCCCCCAAAGTACGTAGACTCTGGAATAAGGTTCTGTCATGGATAATAAGGCAAATAGTAGGGGGAATAGTACATTTCAAGGGAGCTCTACTAATGTTTGCTGTATTCCGAAGTATGAATAAGGATTTGGTGAACATAAATCTGATATTGCTTCTGTTGTTGTTATTGTTTATTTATGCTCCGCTTTTTTCTCTCCACAAGGACACTCAATTTCAATACAGTTTAAAATCTTCGTTGTTCATTTGTTCAGCCGTTTCCGACTCTTGGTGACCTCATGGACCAGCCCACGCCAGAGCTCCCTGTCGGCCGTCACCACCCCCAGGGTCTCCTTCAAGGTCAGTCCAGTCACTTCAAGGATGCCATTCTTCATTATTATTATTATTATTATTATTATTATTATTATTATTATTATTATCTTTATTTGTACCCCGCTAGTATCTCCCGAAGGACTCAATGCGGCTTACACAGGCCAAGGCCTCAATAAAAACATAACATAACAAATACACAACTTAAAGCAAATCAAAACCATTAAAGCAATATCAAACAACAAAACAATAAAACAATACACCGAAACACAATTAAACTAGGGCCGGGCCAAATGTAATGGATACAGGTTAAAAGTGCTGATGTGACAGGTGGTATATCGGATTTTAGGGTAAGTGCAGTATGTGGGCAATCTTAAACTCTAATAAAGTGCTTCTGGGACATGTTACTGGAGTTTTCCTATTCTGTAAAGGCACATCGGAACAGCCAGGTGTTCAAGTTCTTCCTAAAGACTGCCAACGTATGGGGCCTGTCTGATATCTTTAGGGAGGGAGTTCCAGAGTCGGGGGGCTACCACAGAAAAGACCCTGTCTCGCGTCACCACTAGGCGTGCCTGCGACGCAGGTGGAATCGTGAGCAGGGCCTCTCCGGATGAACGAAGAGAACGCGTAGGTTCATACACGGAGATGCGGTCACGCAGGTAGGCTGGTCCCAAACCGTTCAGGGCTTTGTAGGTAAGCACCTGCACCTTAAATTGGGCTCGGAAAATAAACGGCAGCCAATGGAGCTCCTTGAACAGGAGGGTTGACCTCTCTCTGTAAGGACCCCAGTTAACATCCTGGCCGCTGCTCGTTGGACCAGTTGAAATTTCCGAGCCGTTTTCAAGGGTGCATTACAGTAGTCTAGAGGTGACCAAGGCATGGACCACCCCGGCCAGATCAGCCTTCGCGAGGTACAGTCGCAGTTGGCGCACAAGTCTCAATTGTGCAAAAGCCCTCCCGGACACCGCGACGCCTGAGCCTCAAGCGTAAGCGATGAATCCAAGAGGACTCCCAAACTGCGGACCTGTGGCTTCAGGGGGAGTGTAACCCCGTCCAACACAGGTTGCCACCCTATACCCCGATCTGGTTTACGATCGACCAGGAGGACCTCTGTCTTGTCGGGATTGATCTTCAGCTTGTTCCTCCTCATCCAGATAGACACAGCGGCCAGGCACTCGTACAGCACCCGAGAGGCCTCCTTGGACTTAGGTGGGAATGAGTAATAGAGTTGTGTGTCATCTGCCCTTGGTTGGCCCCTCTTCCTTTTGCCTTCCATTTTCCCCAGCATAATTGTCTTCTCTAGGCTTTGCTGTCTCCTCATGATGTGGCCAAAGGACTTCAACTTTGTCTCTAGTCTCCTTCCTTCCAATGAGCAGTTGGGCTTTATTTCCTGGAGGATGGACTGGTTGGATCTTCTCGCAGTCCAAGGCACTCTCAGCACTTTCCTCCAACACCACAGTTCAAAAGCATCTCTCTTCCTTCGCTCAGCCTTCCCTAAGGTCCAGCTCTCACATCCGTAGGTGACTACGGGGAATACCATTGCTTTGACTATGAGGATCTTCATTGCCAGTCCGATATCTCTACTCTTCAGTATTTTATCGAGACTGGACATTGCTCTCCTCCCAAGAAGGAAGCGTCTTCTGATTTCCTGGCCACAGTCTGCATCTGCAGTCATTTTTGCACCTAGAAATACAAAGTCTGTCTCTGCCTCCATGTTTTCTCCTTCTATTTCCCAGTTGTCAATCAGTCCAGTTGCCATAATCATGTTTTTTTTTTAATGTTTAGCTGCAACCTAGCTTTTGTACTTTTTTCTTTCACCTTGATTAGAAGGCTCCTCATCTCCTCCTCGCTTTCGGCCATCAAAGTAGTGTCATCTGCATATCTAAGGTTGTTAATGTTTCAGTTTAAAATCTACAAATATGCAAACATTAAAACTGAAATAAATACCATGAGTATTTTTTAAAATTCAGTTAAAATCCATAAAAACATATTCAAAATAGGCAGAATCTGGGAAAGGCTGAAGTAGCTGTCCTTAAAGAATTGGTTAAACAGATAGTGGTATCAGAAAAAGTTAACCTATACATTAAGAGGAGAACTGAAAGAAGATCAAGGGCCAAGGCATTAGCACAGCTGGTAAATAACCAGCAATGATAACATCTATCAACCAAAAGGTTGCAAGTTCGAAGCCCCGGGTCACCGTGAGCACCTGACGGTCAGCCCTGCTCACTGTTGACCTAAGCAGTTTGAAAACAGCTTACAACTGTGATTGGAAAAATTTGATACCGCTAATGTGGGGGAGGTATTTTATGACACTATAAAGAAAAAGATCAAAGAATGCTTGTGATCAAAAGGAAGGAGGAAGTCCTGATGACTCTTCCCCGGAGTGATGTGGAGGCTCCTTCTTTGGAAGCTTTTAAACAGAGGCTGGATGTCCATCTGTCAGGGGTGATTTAAATACAATATTCCTACTTCTTGGCAGAATGGGGTTGGACTGGATGGCCCATGAGGTCTCTTCCAACTCTTTGATTCTATGATTCTATGACTCTTCGTCATAAAGGATGGAGCGACAGCGCCCCTCTGTGGCTGGCAACTTCCAAAGGTGCCGACAAGCTGGATGTTCAACTGGATGTCAATGCAACACAATATACCTCCTTTCTGTTCTGTCTTTGTCCCGTCCAAAAAAAAGGGATTGAATTAAAATTACAACAGCAAAACAACAGAGAGGAAACAATCAAGGACATCTCATCACCTCTCAACAAAAGATTGCCCCAGGCACTGCCGGGCCATCAAATGCTAATCAAGGTGGTCGGTTGAAACATTCACACCTAGCTCCAATAGAAAAGAGTTCTTTGTCCCACCCTGGTCATTCCACAGATATATAAACCTATTTTCCTAGTACCAACAGACCTCACTACCTCTGAGGGTACTTGCCATAGATGCAGGCAAAAGGTCAAGAGAGAGTGCCTCTAAAACATGGCCATATAGCCCGAAAAAAACCCCTACAACAACCCAAAGGGATTGAATGTTTGCCATGTATGTGTACTGTGATTCGCTCTGAGTCTCCTTTGGGGTGAGAAGGGCAGAATATAAATAAAGTGTTGTTGTTGTTGTTGATCTGGTAACACGTGGAAATCATTCATTCGCTTCATATGAAAAATGAGACTCAGCATTCTGGCACCATACCTACTACTAGTAGTAGGAGAAGAAGAAGAAGTGATGCAGAAGCAGAGGAGAATCAGCGTCAGCTGAAACGTATTCGTGACATCTTTCTGGCTTCCAGTGATTCGGAAGACTTTGCAGGATTCAGCCCAGAGGAAGCTATAGAAGCAGATTACAGGGGAGTAAAGAGAGTGGCCAGTGAGTCTGGCAGTGATAGTGACACTATGTCTAAGAGGCTTAAAGACACAGCAGATAATTCCAGTGCTAGTGAGGATGAGATGGAGGAGGCTTTAGACTGGACTCTGGTTCAGAACATTAGAGACATTTGCACTCAAGCAACCTCCAGCGATGATTTTGAGGGTTTTCAGGATAACTGGAATGAGGGATCTTCTTGGCAGGATCAGGCATTAGATCAAAGGTGGCAGACTTGGCGTGGCTTAGATGCTTCAGCTGCGCAAGGAGAATCAGATGGGAGTAATGAATCTCAATCTTCTGACAGTGAATAAAATGAGCACATTGGGAACTGTTTCTTTGCAGACGACAAAGTGTTGTTTACGTGTTGTTACTCTGCCTAACCTTGCTTGGATTTCCAGTATCCTGTTTTCCTGCCGTGTTTCTTCGGACCTTGGAATCTTCGTTCGTGAGTGTTACGCCTGGCTTCCTGACCTTGGAATTGACTGGACTACGTATTTGCCTATCGGACCTTGCATTGAACTTTGTATTTCTTAGAGACTATTTTGCTTTGCATTTTGCTACAAGCTCTTGTATCTCCTTTTTACTTTTGGCTGCTATTCAAGCCTGCTAGATATCTGGATTATCTACTGTTTACGTTCTTGTTTGAAAATACCTTTTGAACTGCTTTCACTGCTGTTAAAGTGCCTCATTAAGTTTGTTATTCATTAAAAGACTATTATTTTGCATCTCAATTGCTGTTTAAGACAATCTGTGTTCCTTGGGTCGCGACCCAATGGTGAATTCAAACCACCAAACACCTAAGAAAGATTGCAGATGATCAATCAGAAAACATTAGAAGAATTATATCAAGGGTCTGGAGAACAAGCCCTATGAGGAGCGGCTTAAGGAGCTGGGCATGTTTAGCCTGAAGAAGAGAAGCCTGAGAGGAGATATGATAGCCATGTATAAATATGTGAGAGGAGGCCACAGGGAGGAGGGAGCAAGTTGGTTTTCTGCTTCCCTGGAGACTAGGACGCAATGGAACAATGGCTTCAAACTACAAGAGAGGAGATTCCATCTGAACATGAGGAAGAACTTCCTGACTGTGACAGCCGTTCAGCAGTGGAACTCTCTGCCCCGGAGTGTGGTGGAGGCTCCTTCTTTGGAGGCTTTTAAACAGAGGCTGGATGGCCATCTGTCAGGGGTGCTTTGAATGCAATATTCCTGCTTCTTGGCAGAATGAGGTTGGACTGGATGGCCCACGAGGTCTCTTCCAACTCTATGATTCTATGATATGTAAAGGATGAAATTAGAAGTAATTAGAAGCCGCTTTGAGTTGTTTAAAATGTTTCAAAATATGTGAAAGAAATTTTAAAATAAAACAAAATTCTGCTACAATTAAACAGTATAACTGGAAGTTATTCCCTTTTAGGTGCCCTTGTTGGCTCAACCCAAACTGCAGATTGCACAAATAATGGAAGGTGTTACCTGTTTGGCTGTGTGTCCCATGTTCATTGCATCGGATATTCGGTTTTGGAGGAAAGTCCAGGTATCCTCGAAGTCAGGAGATGAGTCCTGCAGCATCACAAGTTCTGTAGTGTTGAAAATGCCGGCCAGCACCGCGCGACGCGTGTACCAGTTGATCTGGAAAGGCAGGGATCGAGAAAGACGGAGTTATAATAATAATAATAATAATCTATATAAATAAAAATGTAATGTTAGTTCGTGCTACCATCAGAACTCAAAAACCACTGGGGGAATTGACACCAAATTTGGACACAAGACACCTAACAGTCCAATTTATGTCCTCCACTCAAAAAAATTGATTTTGTCATTTGGGAATTGTCGTTGCTGGGATTTATAGTTTACCTACAATCAAAGAGCATTCTGAACTCCACCAATGATGGAATTGGGCCAGACTTAGCACACAGGGCTCCCATGACCAACAGAAAAAACTGGAAAGGTTTGGTGGACATTGACCTTGAGTTTGGGAATTATAGTTCACCCACATCCAGAGAGCACTGTGGCATTGACTTTGAGTTTGGGAGTTGTAGTTCACCTACATCCAGAGAGCACTGTGGACACAAACAATGATGGATCTGGACCAAACTTGGCACGAATATTCCATATGCCCAAATATGAACACAGATGGAGTTTAAGGGAAATAGACCTTGACATTTGGGAGTTGTAGTTGCTGGGATTTATAGTTCACCTACAATCAAAGAGCATTCTGAACTCCACCAATGATGGAATTGAACCAAACATGACATACAGGACTTCCATGACCAACAGAACACACTGGAAGGGTTTGGTGGGCATTGACCTTGAGTTTGGGAGTTGTAGTTCACCTACATCCAGAGAGCACTCTGGACTCAAACAATGATGGATCTGGACCAAACTTGGCACAGATACTCAATATACCCAAATGTGAGCACTGGTGGAGTTTGGGGATAATAGACCTTGACATTTGGGATTCGTAGTTACTGGGATTTATAGTTCCCTACAATTAAAGAGCATTCTGAAACCTACAAACAACAGAAATGGGGCAAACTTCCCACACAGAACCCCCATGACCAACAGAAAATACTTAAGGCCATCCAGTCCAACTCTCTTCACCAGGGCAAGAAAATGGAATCAGAGCCCTCCTGACAAAGAGCCATCCAGTCATAAATATAGATACATAGACATGATTCTCACACACACACACACACAGATATAGTATCACAGATTTAAAGAGACCCTTAAAGAAGGACAATGATACGTTGCATGTTCCACGGTGGGCAAACCAGACACTCTCCACATCAACACTGACAAAGAAACAACAAGAAACACTGTTTACTCACAAACATAAAGGAATTACATATATTAGAAACCAACACTTTCTCATTACTTTATTTTCCAGATCACCAGACTCGGCCACAGCAACGCGTGGCAGGGGACAGCTAGTAATAGTAATAATAATGATAATAAACTTTATTTGTACCCTGCCACCATCTCCCCAATGGGGACTCGGTGCGGCTTACATGAGGCCAAGCCCAAACACAAATTACAGCAGCATAACACCGAAAATGCAACCCGAAAACGCATGAAATTAAGATTGTGCAGGGAACATTGGTTTTTAATATGTATGTATGAGCATGTGCTCTGCTACAGCTAATTTCTCTGGTTGAATTAGTCTACAGTGCCTTTTGCATCCTTTGATTCGTGTCTGGGCATTGCTGTGCTTGGTGGTCCCTGTGTAGACTTGTCCACAGATGCACAATATACGGTAGACTCCTGCAGTGGTTAGAGGATCCCTCTTATCCTTTGCTGAATGTTGCGTTTGTGGAATTTTCTCAATCAGATACCCTCATTGATTGACTCTGCAAACTTCATGGCTACTTAATGCTAATGCAAGATTGCTAATTGCAACATCCACAGACATAGGTTCTTCTTCCTACCCTGAACATTATTCCATAGGTGTGTATGTATGCATGTATGTACGTGTGTGTATGTGTGTGCATATGCATTAGATTGGTTTTATTGATTGTGATGTATAATTGATTGTTTTAATAGTTTTATAATTGCTGTTTATATATGTTTTATCCTATTGTTTGTGTTGGCATCAAATTGTGTCTTTTGTAAGCCGTCCTGAGTCCCCCTTTGGGGGTTGAGAAGGGCGGGGTAGAAATGCACGAAATAAATAAATAAAATAAATGTGTGAGTGTGTGTGTGTATGTGTATATTATATATATATATATAGAGAGAGAGAGAGAGAGAGAGAGAGAGAGAGGAACCCCCAGTGGCACAGTGGGTTAAAGCACTGAGCTGCTGAGCTTGTTGACCGAAAGGTCGCAGGTTCGAATCCGGGGAGTAGCATGAGCTTTCGCTGTCAGCCCCAGCTTCTGCCAACCTAGCAATTTCCTCATTTTTCGTGTAATTAGTAACATTATGGGAACCACTGTTGGTGCAGTGGGTCAAACCGCTGAGCTGCTGAACTTGCTGACAAAAATGTCGGCGGTTTGAATTCTGGGAGCAGCATGAGCTCCTGCTGTCAGACTCAGCTTCTGCCAACCTAGCAGTTCAAAAACATGCAAATGTGAGTAGATCAATAGGTACCGCTCTGGCAGGAAGTTAAGGGCTCTCCATGCAGTCATGCCGGCCACATGACCTTGGAGGTGTCTACGGACAATGCCGGCTCTTCGGCTTAGAAATGGAGATGAGCACCACACCCCAGAGTCGGACACGACTGGACTTAATGTCAAGGGAAAACCTTCACCTTCACCTTCACCTTTCCCTTTACTATATACACATACATATACATATACATATGCTGGGGAAAGTCGAAGGCAAAAGGAAGAGGGGCTGTCCAAGGGCAAGATGGATGGATGGCATCCTTGAAGTGACTGGACTGACCTTGAAGGAGCTGGGCGTGGTGACGGCTGACAGGGAGCTCTGGCGTGGGCTGGTCCATGAGGTCACGAAGAGTCGGAGATGACTGAACGAATGAACAACAACAATACATATACATATATATAGTGAAGGAAGTGGGGTGTGTGTATATATATGTGTTATGTATATGTGTGTGCGCGCGCACGTGTATATATACTTATACACACACACACACTCCACTTGCTTTATTTCCAACAGAACCTCTGAAGATGCCAGTAAGCCACAGATGCAGGCAAAATGTCAGGAGAGTATGCTGCTGGAACATAGTCATACAGCCCGAAAACCACACAGTAACCGATTGATTCCGGCCATGAAAGCCTTCAACAACACAGATTTTGTTGTGAATATTTAATTCTATTGTGTTTTTCGAGTTTTAAATTGTATTGTATCTGTTTGACTGTAAATTTATTTTATTTATTTATTTACGGCATTTATATGCCGCCCTTCTCACCCCGAAGGGGACTCAGAGCGGCTTACAAGGTATATATACATACAATATATTATTAACATAGTACAATATCAGTTTTAAATATTGCTATATTGCAATATATAAATTATACTGTAATATTATTAGTAATATTACATGTAATATAAATATATAATTATAATATCATATTATTATTAGTAGTATTATATTGCATTACATTACAATATTATAAATATTATATGTATATACAATATATTATATATTATATTATAACATATTATTAGAATACCACAGGAGACAAGGTGGAACTGTCCCCTGGCCCCCCCCTTCTTCACTCCGCTTTGAGTCTCTCTTTTGGAGGGAAAAAGCAGAGCATCAACAACAACAACAACAACTGAAAGTAACACAAGGACATGTATATATATATACGTATACACACACACACACTCCACTTGCTTCATTGCCAACAGAACCTCTGAAGATGCCAGTTAGCCACAGATGCAGGCAAAATGTCAGGAGAGCATGCTGCTGGAACATAGTCATACAACGACAAAAACCACACAGTAACCCATTGATTCCGGCCATGAAAGCCTTCAACAACACATATTTTAATACTGTGAATATTTAATTCTATTGTGTTTTTCGAGTTTTAAATTGTGTTGTATCTGTTTGACTGTAAACCGCTTTGAGTCTCTCTTTTGGAAGGAAAAAGCAGAGTATCAACAACAACAACTGAAAGTAACACAAGGGCATGTATATATACACATACACACTCCACTTGCTTCATTGCCAACAGAACCTCTGAAGATGCCAGTAAGCCAGACGCAGGCAAAATGTCAGGAGAGCATGCTGCTGGAACATAGTTGTACAGCCCGAAAACCACACAGTAACCCATTGATTCTGGCCATGAAAGCCTTCAACAACACAGATTTTAATACTGTTAATATTTAATTCTATTGTGTTTTTCGAGTTTTAAATTGTATCTGTTTGACTGTAAACCGCTTTGAGTCTCTCCTTTGGAAGGAAAAAGCAGAGTATCAACAACAACAACTGAAAGTAACACAAGGGCATTTCCCTACTTTTCGAGACTAAAGGCTAGACACAACTGCTAAGACTACGGTTTTTAAAAGGCGCACCCACAATTTGAATTCTACCAAAAAAGGCCTTAGTTTCCGAATGCGCTTTCCATCTCTCACTTGGCTCTCTGGTTTATTCCTTTAATTTGCCTGCAGGCTATTTATTTGTCATCGCAGCGGCTGCTGTTTTATTTTCGCCCAAGTTTATTAAAGCCATCCGTTAGAAAGACCCGCTAAGCCCTTCGTACTCCTGAGCTACGTCTATAACAGGTCGAGTAATTCATTAATTGCTTTAATTAAGAGATAATTTACTTTGCTTTTTATTTCCTGCCGGAAAGATGACGTGCTTTAGCATAAGCTCTGAGTATTTTTAGGTTGCAAATTAAGATGTTTCCAAATAAAATCTTTCACTTTCTGTCATCTCCGCTGGAGTCAAACTGGGTTTTAAGGAGGTACATGCCCCATTCAGCTCAGTACAGGACAGTTTAAGAGGCATGCTCCGTTTTCTTAAATGTCTATAAAAAGAAAAATATCTTATTTGCTGGCTATTTTAAACATAACAAGCTCTAGAAGTCTCGCCACCTTTGATTTGGGCACTTTCTCTTTGCGTAATTGCCCAAATAGTTGCCATAATAATAATAAAATTAATAATAATGTATTGTCAAAGGCTTTCATGGCCGGTATGAAAGCCTTCGACAATACATTATTGTACAGGAGTTGATTATAAATTGTATGATTTTAACTGTATTTGTGTTTAGATTGGCTTTAGTAACGCTGGAGCGGCCTAAGTCAGAGGAGTCCTCCATGTGCGTTGCCATGGAGACCGATGCAGGAGAGACAGAAGTGGGAGGAGCTTAGAGGGGAGAGTTTGGAAAACGACAGTTAATAGTCAGTCAGGAGTCAGGTTTAGAGGAGTGAGGAGTTGTGAGAGAAGGAGAGGAAAGGCGGTTGAGTGACTTGTGAAGCAAAGCTTTGAGGCTTTGAAAAGCTGGGTTTGGCTATTGGAAGTTTCTCAGGCTAGTGCAGCCGAATGGTGAAACAGAGCTGGTATTCTTTTAGTCTAAGGAGAGGCTAAAGAATAGTTTATGTAGAATTTGATCTAGGGAGAATCAAATAAGGGAAACATCCCTGTATTGAAACTTTGTCTGAAACAAGTGCTCTACGTCAGAAAGATACTGTGTTACTTGAAAGAATGAACTGTTAAACTTACAAGTATTATTCCAAGTGCTATAAGAAAAAGTTACATCTTGCAATCACACGCCTTGTACTTAATAAAATTGTTAACTTTTGTTTGAAGATTGCCTCATCTCCGTCTGTTCTGTATCCAAGGTGCCATTTCTCACAATATTACAACTTACCTCACGTGGTGGCAGAAACACAGAGAAAAATAACCAAATAAATCTACATTCTTCTCTCCAGTCACGCTACAGTATAAACAGTGTAATTGCTTCTAAGATATTACTTTCTTAATTCAGGAGGAGGTGCAGTTGAACTTGGTGGTAAATTTGGTTCCTAATCGGTAACCTCCATTTCAAATTGGCTATTTCTTTTTTAAATTGTGTACTGGAGTGAAATCTCCTGAATACTGGTTCCTTTCAAATCGGTGGCAACAATAAATCATCCCTCCTCTCTCCTATATCCTTTCAAATGTGGCTGTTCATTTGTGTAAATGTTGAACATGGATGGAGCAAGCACGCTTCCCTGAGGCAGGCTCTTCTTCTTCTTCTTCTTCTTCTTCTTCTTCTTCTTCTTATTATTATTATTATTATTATTATCATCATCATCATCATCATGGCCGGTATGACTACCTCACCCGCCTCATAGGAAACCTGCTACAAAACAGGAGCTTTTTTGTTGAGTTCCAGGGCCAGAGAAGCAGATGGCAGAAACAGAAGAACGGCCTGCCTCAGGGGAGCGTGCTTGCTCCATCCATGTTCAACATCTACACAAATGACCAGCCACTGCCAGAAGGGACAGAGAGTTTCATCTGCGCTGATGATCGTGCCATCACCGCTCAAGCAGGGAGCTTTGAGATGGTTGAACAGAAGCTCCCTGAAGCTCTAGGTGCTCTTACTGCCTCTTACAGGGAAAATCAGCTGATCCCTAATCCATCTAAAACACAGACATGTGCTCTTCATCTCAAAAACAGACAAGCATCCCGAGCTCTGAGGATCAATGCTCCCACTGGAGCATTGCAGTGCACCCAAATACCTGGGAGTCACTCTGGACCATGCTCTGACCTACAAGAAGCACTGCCTGAATATCAAGCAAAAAGTGGGTGCTAGAAACAATATCATACGAAAGTTGACTGGCACAACCTGGGGATCACAACCAGATACAGTGAAGACATTTGCCCTTGCGCTATGCTACTCTGCTGCTGAGTACACATGCCCAGTGTGGAACACATCTCACCACGCTCAAACAGTGGATGTGGCTCTTAATGAGACATGCCGCATTATCACGGGGTGTCTGCGCCCTACACCTCTGGAGAAATTACACTGCTTAGCCGGTATTGCACCACCTGACATCCGCCGGGAAGTAGCAGCCAATAGTGAAAGGACCAAGGCAGAGACATCTCCAGCTCAACCCCTATTTGGGTATCAGCCAGCATGACAACGACTTAAATCTAGAAATAGTTTTCTAAGATCTACAGAGACACTCGCTGGAACACTTCAGCAAGCGTGAGTCCAAAAGTGGCAGGCTCAAACCCAGAACCTCAACCAATGGCTGATACCAAATGAGAGACTCCCTCCTGGGCACACAGGAGACGGGGCGACTTGGAAGGCGCTGAACAGACTGCGCTCTGGCACCACGAGATGCAGAGCCAACCTTCAGAAATGGGGCCACAAAGTGGAATCCATAACATGCGAGTGTGGAGAAGAGCAAACCACAGACCACCTGCTGCAATGCAACCTGAGCCCTGCCACATGCACAAGGGAGGACCTTCTTGCGGCAACACCAGAGGCACTCCAAGTGGCCGGATACTGGTCAAAGGACATCTAATCAACTACCAAGCTTGCAAACGGTGTCTTTTAAATGTTTGTTTGTTTGCTCTGTCAAAAATGTAATACAACTGTTCGGTTGCCTGACACGATAAATAAATAAATCGAATCCTAGAGTTGGATGAGACCTCGTGGGCCATCCAGTCCAAACCCATTCTGCCCAGAAGCAGGACAATCGCATTCAAAGCACCCCAACCGATGGCCATCCAGTATCTGTTTAAAAGCCTCCATAGAAGGAGCCTCCACCACACTCTGGGGCAGAGAGTTCCACTGCTGAACAGTTCTCACAGTTAAGAAGTTCTTCCTAATGTTCAGGTGGAATCTCCTTTCATGTAGTTTGAAGCCATTGTTCCACGTCCTAGTCTCCAGGGCAGCAGAAAACAAGTTTGCTCCCTCCTCCCTATGACTTCCTCTCACATATTCATACATGGCTATCATGTCTCCTCTCAGCCTTCTCTTCTGCAGGCTAAACATGCCGGGCTCTTTAAGCCGCTCCTCATAGGGCTTGTTCTCCATACACTTGATCATTTTAGTCACCCTCCTCTGGACATAACACATTTCCTGTCTCTCCCCAAATGGAAAACATCTGTGAGAATTTCCAACTTACGTCAGTGGACTGGTCTCCTGCGTAGTGCCACATGTCATCCACCATGTTTGTCAGGAGGTTGAGGCTGGCTGGGATGTTGTGCGGCAGCAACAACACACTCATCGCCTAGAATGAATGAAAGAATGCATTTTATTATTACGGTGGTCACAGATCAGGAGTGTAAAACTTTAAAACATTACAAACATGTTCCAGAAGCATTCTCTCCTGACATTTTGCCCACATCTATGCCAGGCATCTTCAGAGGTTGAGAGGTCTGTTGGAAACTAGGAAAACACATTGTCAAAGGCATTCATGGCTGGAATCACTGGATTGTTGTGAGTTTTCTGGGCTGTCCGACCATGTTCCAGAAGCATTCTCTCCTGACATTTCACCCACATCTATGCCAGGCATCCTCAGAGGTAGAGAGGTCTGTTGGAAACTAGGAAAACGGATTGTCGAAGGCATTCATGGCTGGAATCACTGGATTGTTGTGAGTTTTCTGGGCTGTCTGGCCATGTTCCAGAAGCATTCTCTCCTGACATTTCACCCACATCTATGCCAGGCATCCTCAGAGGTTGAGAAGTCTGTTGGAAACTAGGAAAACGGATTGTTGAAGGCATTCATGGCTGGAATCACTGGATTGTTCTGAGTTTTCTGGGCTGTTGGGCCATGTTCCAGAAGCATTCTCTCCTGACATTTCACCCACATCTCTGGCAGGCATCCTCAGAGGTTGAGGTCTGTTGGAAACTAGGCAAGTGGAGTTTATATATCTGTGGAATGTCCAGGGTGGGAGAAAGAACTCTTGTATGTTGGAGGCAAGTGTCAATGTTGCTCTTGATTACCCTGATTATCATTGAATAGCCTTGCAGCTTCAAAGCCTGCCTGTTTCCTGCCTGGGGAGGGTCTTTTGTTAGGAGGTATTAGGTGGCCCTGATTGTTTCTTGTCTGGAGTTCCCCTGTTTTCTGCAAATTTCTACAAGGAACACTTTGAAAAACAAGCCCTGGAAACAGCAACAAAAAGGCCCTGAAGCATTCTCTCCTGACGTTTCACCCACACCTCTGGCAGGCATCCTCACAGGTTGTGAGGTCTATTGGAAACTAGGCAACTGGGGTTTATATACCTGTGGACTGTCCAGGTTGGGAGAAAGAACTCTTGTCTGTTGGAGGCAAGTGTGAGTGTTGCAATGGACCTGCAAAGCCATTCAATGCTAATCAAGGCGGAGGCTTGAGAAGGTTACTATTTCCAACAGTTCTGACCAAGAGCAGTTGTAAATATTGGGATCTCACCTTGACATGTAAACAACAATCAAACAAAATATGCACAGTGTCCTCTATGGCTAGCGCACCACAGATGCATGTTCTTTCGTGGAAAGGTAATTTTTGAAACTGTTCTGTTCTTACCATAGAATTAAGTTGCTCAAATATGGGGGAAATTTATAGAATATGTGTTTGCTCAAGGGCAGGGGAACAAACCTGCAGTAGAAACAATGATGTTTTGGAAATAATATATTAAGTGGTTCGGACCATTTCTTATGCAGATACTATGTTAAAACTGGCAAATAGAGAGGCTGCATTAGATGGCTTTTAGGGGACCCTTCCAAATCTATATCTCATATACATACACACACATCATACAAATGTTTATATTTTTATTATTGGGATTTATATATCGGTGGAATGCTATTCCCTGTGATGATGATGATGATGTTGTTGTTGATGATGATGACAATGATAGAATCATAGAATCCTAGAGTTGGAAGAGACCTCATGGGCCATCCAGTCCAACCCCATTCTGCCAAGAAGCAGGAAAATTGTATTCCAAGCACCCTAGACAGATGGCCATCCAGCCTCTGTTTAGAAGCCTCCAAAGAAGAAGTCTCCACCACACTCCAGGGTAGAGAATTCCACTGTTGAACATGATGGTGATGATGATGATGATAGAATCATAGAATCCTAGAGTTGGAAGAGACCTCATGGGCCATCCAGTCCAACCCCATTCTGCCAAGAAGCAGGAAAATTGTATTCCAAGCACCCCCGGCAGATGCCCATCCAGGCTCTGTTTAAAAGCCTCCAAAGAAGAAGCCTCCACCACACTCCGGGGCAGACAGTTCCACTGTTGAACATGATGATGATGATGATGATGATGATAATAATAATAATAATAATATGATGATGATGATGATGATGATGATGATTATATTTATTATTGGTAAGCAACAGCAGCAGAGGACCCTCCCCACTTTGACAGTTGCCAGGCAGAAGGATGTTTTAGGACACGGATAGCCCTCTGAGCCCCATCCAAGGCAAGTTTCCCATGTGTACCAGTCATTAAAAACAAGTCGAGCAAACAGTTTTCGTTTTGTACCTGGGGCCACTTTTCAATATAGGGAATGAGCATCCTCAGCCGGGCCTCCATGGCATCCTTGAGGAACTGGTCAGTCTTCTTCTTCCTTGAAAAAAAAGAAAAGAGCATTGATGATAACAATGTGGTTCTGACCCTTAGGGTTATAAGTCAGGAGGCAAGATGAATTAGAAAAGCATAATTCGCAACCCTTGTGGCCAAATTCAGAGGACAGGCTTTCTCTGCCAATCTAGTACAGTGTTTCGCAGCCTTCTAAATGCTGCAACCTCTTAATACAGTTCCTCGTGTTGTGGTGACCCCCCAACCATCACATTAGTTTTGTTGCTCCTTCATAACTGTAATTTTCCTATTGTTGTGAATCGTAATGCAAATACCTAATATGCAGGATATATTTTCATTCACTGCACTACATTTGGCACAAATACCCCATACGTCCACACTTGAATACTGGTGGGGATGCCAGGGGATTGATTTTGTCATTTGGGAGTTGTAGTTGCTGGGATTTGTAGTTCACCTACAGTCAAAGAACATTCTGAATTCCACCAATGATGGAATGGGACCAAACTTGGCACACAGAACTCCCATGACCAACAGAAAATACTGGAAGGGTTTGGTGGGCATTGACCTTGAGTTTGGGAATTGTAGTTCACCTATGGACTCAAACCATGATGGATATGGACCAAACTTGGCTCAGATACTCAATACGTCCAAATGTGAAAACTGGTGGAGCTTTGGGAAAATAGACCTTGACATTTGAGAGTTGTAGTTGCTGGGATTTATAGTTCATCTACAGTCAAAGAACATTCTGAACTCCACCAATGATGGAATGGGACCAAACTGGGCACACAGAACTCCCATGACCAACAGAAAACACTGGAAGGGTTTGGTGAGCATTGACCTTGAGTTTGGGAGTTGTAGTTCACCTACATACAGAGAATACTATGGACTCAAGCCATGATAGATATGGACCAAACTTGGCACGATACTCAGTATGTCCAAATGTGAAAACTGGTGGAGCTTGGGGAAAATAGACCTTGACATGTGGGATTTATAGTTGTTGGGATTTATAGTTCGCCTACAATCAAAGAGTTCTCAACCCCACCAATGATAGAATTGGACCAAACTTGGCACACAGAACTCTCATGACCAACAGAAAATACTGGAAGGGTTTGGTGGGCATTGTCCTTGAGTTTGGGAATTGTAGTTCACCTATGGACTCAAACCATGATGGATATGGTCCAAACTTGGCACGGATACTCAGTATGGCCAAATGTGAAAACTGGGGGAGCTTGGGGAAAACAGACCGTCACATTTGGGAGTTGTAGGTGCTGGGATTTATAGTTCACCTACAATCAAAGAGAGTTCTCAACCCCACCAATGATAGAATTGGACCAAACTTCCGACACAGAATCCCCATGACCAACGGATAATACTGTGTTTTCTGATGGTCTTTAGCAACCCTTCTGATACGCCCTCGCGACTTCCCCCAGGAGTCCTGACCCCAGGTTAAGAAATGCTGGTCTAGATTCTCCACAAGGCTCTTGCTCTGTACTTACTCAGCTTGGCCCAGTTGCACCAGTTTGTGCTGTTCCAGGAGAAGTTCAGAAAGTGCGGAATTGCACTGGGACACAAAATGCAGGACCAGTTCGCTGCCATCGTTGTGGAAAAGCCCTGCTGCAGCGACAGAGAGACCTAGTGACTAAAAGGAGGAAGGGAGAGGGGTTGAGTCAGGAAAGAAGCATCACGGCGGGCATTGGCAGCCAAAAACATTCTGCGTTTTGTTCACAGAAGAGAGACATAGTTATTATTTATTTATTTATTTCGGTTGCTTCTACCCCGCCCTTCTCACCCCGAAGGGGACTCAGGGCGGCTTACACAAGCAAGGCACAATTTGATGCCCGCATCACATAACAACAATAAGACAAAATAACATCAATTAACAGAAAAGTGCAATTCTAGCAATAACATCAATTAACAGAAACAACAATTCTTGCAAGGCGAAAACAACCATAAAACCAGTAAAAGCAATGAAACCAATACAAACCATTTCTCCTCATTGACGGTCAGCGTTTCGCAATCTCATAGTTCAAATTCCAATTCCAGAATTGTCAGTCCTGTCGGTCCTATCCATCTGGTTGTCCATATCTAGTTATCAGATTGCCCGAAGGCCTGGTCCCACAACCACGTCTTTACCTTCCTCCTGAAGGAGAGGAGGGATGTTGATGCCCTGATTTCCCCCGGGAGTGAGTTCCACAGGTGGGGGGCCACCACTGAGAAGGCCCTGCTCCTCGTCCCCACCAACCTCACTTGTGATAGCGGTGGGGTCGAGAGCAGGGCCTCCCCAGATGATCTCAAATTCCAGGGTGGGACGTAGAGGGAGATACGTTCGGACAGATACACTGGACCGGAACCGTAAAGGGTTTTGTAGGTCAAAACCAGCACTTTGAATTGTGCTCGGAACTGAACCGGCAGCCAGTGGAGCTGACACAACAGGGGGGTGGTGTGCTCCCTGTATGTCGCTCCTGTGAGCAATCTGGCTGCCACTCGCTGGACCAGTTGAAGTTTCCGAACAGTCTTCAAGGGCAACCCCACGTAGAGTGCGTTGCAGTAGTCTAGTCGGGATGTAACGAGAGCGTGGACCACTGTGGCCAGATCAGACTTCCCAAGGTACGGGGACAACTGGTGCACAAGTTTTAGTTGTGCAAAAGCTCTCCCGGCCACCGCTGAAACCTGAGGTTCCAGGCTCAGTGAAGAGTCCAGGATCACTCCCAAGCTGTGAACCTGAGTCTTCAGGGGGAGTGTAACCCAAGTTAAGAAATTAGTTCAAATCTCAACTTAAATGCTGGCCTTGAGGCAAACGACATCCCCAGGCTCCCATTTGCAGTATGAGAAACAACTGATAATATAAACAATGCTAATGAACATAAACCATTAAAGTGGGAAAGGGCTACATATATGTGTGTAATATTATCATTTGCTTTAACTGTTCCTCTCTGCAAATACATTTGTGTCACTCTAAGGCTACATAGTTAATGTACATTATCCTGTAAAGTTAGAAAGGGCTACATATATGTGCAATATTATCGTTGGCTTTAATTGTTCCTCTCTGCAAATACATTTGTGTCACTCTAAGGCTACATAGTTAATATGCAGACAGAATTATGTTGGATATGTAAAATATTATTTTTTGCCCTTTAATTCTTCTTTGCAAACACACTTGTATCACATTGTGGCGCTATCTAGTTTTCAGACTGATACGAAAGCCCTGGTTTTACTTTGCAGATCGAAAGGAATTTGAAAGGAAATATATCCAGTATATAGATAGGTATAATGGGCATCATGAGAACTATTTTGTCGACATAACAGAACCCAAATATATTTAAAGGGAACCTCAAAGAATGGCAAAAAATGTGAGTGTTATTTCAGACTGATTTGATTATTAAAAAATGGAAAAACAGTTCCACTTTGAATAGATAGATACACATATATACACACATGCACGCACACACAGGTGCTCCCAGTGGTACAGCAGGTTAAACCGCTGGGCTGCTGAACTTGCTGACCAAAAGGTTGGTGGTTCAAATCTGGGGAATGGGGTGAGCTTCTGTTGGTAGCCCCAGCTTCTGCCAACCTAGCAGTTTGAAAACATGGAAATGTGGGTAGATCAATAGGGAAGGGATCCCACTGGAGCACTGCAACACACCCAAATACCTGGGAGTCACTTTGGACCGTGCTCTGACCCACAAGAAGCACTGCCTGAACATCAAGCAAAAAGTGGGTGCTAGAAACAGTATCATACGAAAGCTGACTGGCACAACCTGGGGATCACAACCAGACACAGTGAAGACATCTGCCCTTGCGCTGTGCTACTCTGCTGCTAAGTACGCATGCCCAGTGTGGAACATCTCACCACGCTAAAACAGTAGATGTGGCTCTTAATGAGACATGCCGCATTATCACAGGGTGTCTGCACCCTGCACCACTGGAGGAATTACACTGCTTAGCCGGTATTGCACCACTTGACATCCGCCGGGAAGTAGCAGCCAATAGTGAAAGGACCAAGGCAGAGACATCTCCAGCTCATCCCCTGTTTGGGTATCAGCCAGCACGTCAATGACTTAACTCAAGGCATAGTTTTCTTAGATCTACAGAGACACTCGCTGGAACACCCCAGCAAGCAAGAGTCCAAAAGTAGCAGGCCCAAACCCAGCACCTCAATCCATGGGTGCTACCAGATGAGAGACTCCCCCCTGGGCACACAGAAGACTGGGCAACTTGGAAGGCACTGAACAGACTGCGCTCTGGCACCACGAGATGCAGAGCCAACCTCAAGAAATGGAGCTACAGGGTGGAATCCTCGGCATGCGAGTGTGGAGAAGAGCAAACCACTGACCACCTGCTGCAATATAACCTGAGCCCTGCCACATGCACAATGGAGGAGCTTCTTGCGGCAACACCAGAGGCACTCCAAGTGGCCAGATACTGGTCAAAGGACATTTAACCAACTACCAAGTTTGCAAAATCTGTGGGTTTTTTCTTTTTAATCTGTGTGTTTGTTTTGTTCTGTTAGAATTGTAACACAATGGTATGGTTGCTGATGACATGATAAATAAAAAATAAATAAATAGGGAAGATAATGGTGCTCCATGCAGTCATGCTGGCCACATGACCTTGGAGGCGTCTACGGACAATGCCGGCTCTTCGGTTTAGAAATGGAAGACACGACTGGACTTAATGTCAAGGGGAAAACTTTACCTTTACTACATACATACAAACAGACACACACACACCTTGGCTCCCTCTGCAATCGCATCCGCCGTCCATCCGTGCGATGGCACAAACTCTAAAGCTGCGGTCAGGATCCTGTGTTGGAGCTGCTCCTCGCTCTCATAGCCTTCTGATTCTTCACCACCTTGGTCTGTGTAACTAAAGGGGAAAATATCAGAACAAATTGAAGCCTAAGAACAACTTCGGAAAGTTAGAAGTTCAGTCTCCCAGGTTGCTTTTACAAAAAATCCATTAATCCTTTTCTCAAATTCCTACAAATAAGATTTTGTTTGATAAATCAAGTGAGTATTGGGGTGTTATGTGGTTTCTGGACTGTACCGCAAATTTAATCAAGCAGCATTTTCTGCTGATGTTTCGCCTGCATCAATAGCTAGAATCTTCAGAGGAGTACCGTATATACTCGAGTATAAGCCAACGCGAATATAATAATAATAATAATAATAATAATAATAATAATACTTTATTTGTACCCCGCTACCATCTCCCCAAGGGACTCGGTGCAGCTTACATGAGACCGATCCCAAATGCAACAATACGAACAATAATAACAATACAAGCAATTAAAAATAAATATAAGCCGAGGCACTTAATTTTACCACAAAAAAAAAGGAAAACAGATTGACTCGAGTATAAGCCGAGGATGGGAAATGCAACAGATACTGATAAATTTCAAAATAAAAATAGATACCAATAACATTATATTAATTGAGGCATCAGAAGGATAAATGTTTTGGAATATTTACATAAAACGGTAATTTTTACATAAAACTTGCAATGCCTTCCTTGTGGCATCCTTTCCAATATTTATACATGGCTCTTATGTCTCTTTCCAGAATGAAGAGGATCCGACGGAGAGAAGCATCTTTTGGGTTCGACCACTTAACCAATTACAGATCCACCTAACAGTAGCATTGGCTAGCCCACAGTTGATTAGTTTGCTTGCAAGGTGGTTGTAATGAATCTTACCTAGTAGGCCGAAAAAGAAGCCTGGATAACAGTAGGGCAAACCCCCATTTTGAGAGTGTACGCCAGGGAAGCAGCCATCTTGAGTGAGGATAGCTAGAAATTGGGAGGAATTTGAGGTCTCCTGGGATTGGCTAGAGTAGATGGGAGGAACCGAGCCTTAGGAGGGAAAAAGATTTCAGCTTCTGTGGAGAGGAGAGTTGGGAGCTGGTGGAAGAAGAAGTGTTTTTGAAAACTGGGTTTTCAGAGAGAGAGCGTCTGTGTCAGGCAGGGCTGATTAGCTGACAGGAAAGGTCAGACGGCTACCCGATTTCTTGTGGGAGATGGCACAAGGGATTAGTTCTCTAGACTGAGTTAGTAAGCAGTAAGAACTCTGGGAGAGTTAGCTGATAACTCAGGGGACTACCTAGGTTAGGTTAGTCAGAAACTCATTGCTATTTCTCTGAAGTAGAGTGAGGGATTTTTGTAACCAGCAGCTATATCTGTTTGATTAGCTCTGTATGTAACTAAGTGAAGAAACTCTTTTCAAGCAACCATCAAGCTATAGTACTTTTGTAACAAATCAAGCGTTTTGTGACTCTCAGAAGTTAGTTGTCTGTTGTTTTTATAAATAAATATTTTTCTATTTAACTTTCAAAAAGTTCTCTATCGTTTCTCAATCTATCAGTAATCCTTTGTGATAATTCCAGCCTCTTTAACTTCCTAACACCACAGAAAGGTCTCTTATCCAAACAGTCATTTTGGGAACTAAGAGGAGAGCTGTATTGGCAGAGAAGGGAAAAGTTTATGTTGTAGTTCAGCATGATGGTAATGTTGCTACTACTGGTAGGAGGGAGAAGAGGGCTGCACAGGTGTTGGAAGAGGAACAGCAGCGAAAGCGGATTGGAGAGATAATCATGGCCCCGAGTGATTCTGAAACCTTTGAGGCCTTCCCCGACTGTGAGATGGGGAGGAAAGCAGGGGAGTCAAGCGAGCTACTCGCGAACAGGAGTCTGACGAGGAAACTCAAGGAAGCGTCTCCGTGATATACCTGCACAGTGCCAGTGGCGAGAGTGATATAGTATTCACTTCTTTAGAGCCGTAGCAAACTAGGATTTTGCGAGAGCAAAACTAAGCCAGCACGAGCAATGCTCCGCCTCTTTCTCCGCCTATTTCCCTTTGCTAGGGCAGCGTTGCGAGCATACGCTCGTGCCGCAGCAAACTACAGGAAGCTTGCGCTCGGGCTTGCTCCGAAGCCCCGCCTTTTTTCCCCCCGAGGCTGCTCTCCCTCTTGCTAGCGTGCCTGTTTTCCATTGCAGAGGGCAGGGATGCTAGCGTACGCTCACAGTTGAATTCTGCCAACTGCGAGAGTACACTCGCATCGCTTCCCTAGCAAGGGAAAACAGGCACACTAGCAAGAGAGAGAGCAGCCTCGGGAGGAAAAAGGCGGGGCTTCGGAGCGAGCTCGAGCACAAGCTCGCTCTCGCTTCCAGTAGTTTGCTACGGCTCTTACAGTGGTCATGAAGGACTTTGTCGAAGGCCTTGCTGAAATCAAGATATGCTCCATCCAGAGCATTCCCTGCAGCTACCAAGCTTGTAACTCTATCAGAGGAAGAGATAAGATGAGTCTGTCATGACTTGTGTTTGATAAATCCATGTCGACATTTAGTAATCCCAGCATCCCTTTCCAAGTGATTGCAGACTGCTTTTTTAATGATCTGCTCCAGAATCTTTCCTGGTCTTGATGTTAGACTGACTGGATAGTAATTGTGTCAGGACACACCGTTTGGAAAGCTCTGCAGCAGATCAAGCTGCTACAGTCCCTTTCGGAAAACTCTCATGTGTTTGTGTGAATGCCATGCAGCATACCTGGGCCGCGAGTGCGAATGCTCCTGATCCTGTTGCTCCTCTAAAGGCTGAGTCGAGGACTGGAACGGAGGCTGTTTATGCTCATCCGAAGCTTTCTGGAGTGCAGCCGCCACACGGAGGGCCCGCTGGGCTGGATTGAGCTGGCATCGGAAGACTGCAGGGAAGAATCAGCCTTTTGAAATAGGTTACAATAGGTATGGGCAACCTGGGCCCTCCAGGTGTTTTGGACTTCAACTCCCACAATTCCTAACAGCCGGAAGGCTGTTAGGAATTGTGGGAGTTGAAGTCCAAAACATCTGGAGGGCCCAAGTTTGCACATGCTTGGGTTTCAATGCTTGCAGACCCTAAGAACAATACATAGAACTATCAAATCCTAGAGTTGGAAGAGACCTCAAGGGGTCATCCAATCCAAGAGTCTCCTTTGGGAAAGATAAAGTGGGTATAAATAAATATTATCATTATTATTTTCCTAATAATAATAATTTCCTTCAGGAAAGCTAAAACAGGTATTTATTATTATTTCCCTAATAATAATTTTCACTTTGAGTCTCCTTCGGGAAAGATAAAGCGGGGTATTAAAAATATAATAATAATAAGAAGAAGGAAAGATAAAGCGGGGTATAAATAATAATAATAATAATAATAATAATAATAATAATAATAATAATTTCCACTTTGAATCTCCTTCATAAAAAATAAAGCTTGGTGTAAATAAATATAATAAATGTAACTATTATTATTATTTCTGCTTTGAGTCTCCTTGAGGAAAGATAAAGCAGGGTATAAATAAATATAATAAATGTAATAATAATAATAATTTCTGCCTTGAGTATCCTTCGGGAAAGATAAACCAAGGCATAAATAGCTATAATAAATGTAATAATAATTATTATTTCTGCTTTGGAGTCTCCTTCGGGAAAGATAAAGTGGGGTATAAATCAATATAATAAATGTAATTATTATTATTTCTGCTTTGAGTCTCCTTTGAGAAAGATAAAGCAGGGTATAAATAAAAACATATTTTTTTTCGTGTCAGGAGTGACTTGAGGAACTTTAATTTGCTTCTGGGGTGAGAGAATTGGCTGTCTGCAAGGACATTGCCCAGGGGACGCCCGGATATTTTAGCATCTGGTGGGAGGCTTCTCTTATGTCCCCGTATGAGAAGTTGGAACTGACAGGCAGGAGCTCACCCCGCTCCCTGGATTCAAACCACCAACCTTTCGGTCAGCTGTCTTGCTGGGGAAATGGCTTAATAACAGTAGTAATATTATAATAACAGTAATAATATAATGCTAGTAATAATATAATAGCAATAATAATAATAATAATAATAATAATAATTTCCGCTTTGAGTCTCCTGTGGGAGAAATAAAGTGGGATATAAATAATAATTATTATTTAATATAATAATAATAATAATAATAACAATTTCTGCTTTGAGTCTCCTGTGGGAGAAATAAAGTAGGGTATAAATAATAATAATAATGGTTATAAATATATTACTCTATTATTATTACTATATTATTATTATATTACTATATCATTACTATAATATTATATCTTTAGTGTTATTATATTATTATTATTATTATTATCAATGTATTACATTACTATATTATTATATTATTATTACTATATTATTATATCTTTACTCTTATTATATAATATTATAACATTATAATTACTATAATCAATGTATTATATTATTATTACTATATTATTATTATATTATATTACTATATTATTATATCTCTACTGTTACAATATAGTAACATAATACAATAATATAGAAATAATATAATATAGTGATTATAGTAATAATATTAAATACATTGATTATAGTAATAATATTATAATAATAGGAGTAAAGATAATATAATATTATAATATAGCAATAATAATATAATGCATTGATTATAGTAATAATAATATTATAATATGTTACTATATTATTATATTATTACTGTTATTATAATTTTTATTACTATTATCAATGTATTATATTATTATTATTACTATTATTAAGATTGTACTAATGCTATTACTTTATTCTTATTCTTATTATTACTATTGATATCATTATTGATATCAATATCGTAATAGTATTGTAATATAATTTTATTATTATAATCAATGTATTATATTATTATTACTTTATTAAATCTTTACTGTTATTATATTATTATTACTACTATAATCAATGTATTATAATATTATTATAATCAATGTATTATATTATTTCTATATTATTATATTACTATATTATTATATTATTACTGTTATTATAATTTTATTACTATTATCAATGTATTATATTATTATTATTACTATTATTATTAAGATTATACTAATGCTATTACTATATTATTATTATTGATATCATTGAACCTCACTACCTCTGAGGATGCTTGCCATAGATGCAGGCGAAACGTCAGGAGAAATGCCTCTAGAACATAAATAAATAAATAAATAGATAAATAAATAAATAGAACATGGTCCTATAGCCCGAAAAAACCTACAAGAACCTAATGATGGATCAATATTGATATCAATATTGTAATAGTATTGTAATATAATTTTTAATACTATAATAAATGTATTATATTATTATTACTATATTATTGTATCTTTACTGTTATTATAATATTATTATTACTATAATCAATGTATTATATTGTATTGTCGAAGGCTTTCATGGCTGGAATCACTCAAAAACCCACAAGAACTGAATGTATTATATTATTTCTATATTATTATATTATGTTACTATATGATTATATCTTTACTGTCATTGTAATTTTTATTACTATCAATGTATTATATTATTATTACTATATTATTATCTTATTATATTACTATATTATTATAACTTTACTCTTATTATAATATTATTATCACTATCATCAATGTATTATAATATTATTACTATAATCACTGTATTATATTATATTATATTACTATATTATTATATCTTCACTCTTATTATAATATTATGATTACTATCATCAATGTATTATATTATTATTACTATACTATTATATTATATTACTATATTACTATATCTTTACTCTTATTAAAATATTATTATTATAATAATCAATGTATTATATTATTATTATTACTAATTATTATATTATATTACTATATTATTATATCATTAGTTATTATAATTTCCATTACTATAATCAATGTATTATATTATTATTATATTACATTACTATATTATTATATCTTTACTCTTACTATATTATTATTACTATAATCAATGTATTATATTATTGTTGCTATATTATATTATTACTATATTATCTTTACACTTGTTATAATATTTTTATTACTATAATCAATGTATTATATTATATTACTATATTATTACTGTATTATATTACTATATTATTATAACTTTACTGTTATTATGATATTATTATCACTATAATCAATGTATTATATTATTATTATTATTATATTAGTATATTATATTACTATATTATTATATCTTTACTCTTATTATAATTGTTATTACTATCATCAATATATTATATTATTATTATATTACTATATTATTATATCTTTACTGTTATTACAATATTATTACTATAATTAATGCATTATATTATTATTATTATATTATTATTATATTATATTACTATATTATATCTTTGTTGTTGTTGTTCATTCGTTCAGTTGTCTCCGACTCTTCGTGACCTCATGGACCAGCCCACGCCAGAGCTCCCTGTCGGCCGTCACCACCCCCAGCTCCTTCAAGGTCAGTCCAGTCACTTCAAGGATGCCATCCATCCATCTTGCCCTTGGTCGGCCCCTCTTCCTTTTGCCTTCCACTTTCCCCAGCATAATTGTCTTCTCTAGGCTTTTATATCGTTATGGGCATAGAATTCAACTTTGTCTCTAGTATCTTTCCCTCCAGTGAGCAGTCGGCTTTCTTTCCTGGAGGATGGACTGGTTGGATCTTCTCGCAGTCCAAGGCACTCTCAGAACTTCCCTCCAACACCACAGCTCAAAAGCATCTATCTTTCCTTCGCTCAGCCTTCCATTAAGGTCCAGCTAATCCGTAGGTGACTACAGGGAATACCATGGCTTTGACTAGGCAATGGATCTTTGTTGCCAGTCTGATGTCTCTACTCTTTACTATTTTATCGAGACTGGACATTGCTCTCCTCCCAAGAAGGAAGCGTCTCCTGATTTCCTGGCCACAGTCTGCGTCTGCAGTAATCTTTGCACCTAGAAATACAAAGTCTGTCACGGCCTCCACGTTTTCTCCCTCTATTTTCCAGTTGTCAATCATTCTTGTTGCCATAATCTTGGTTTTTTTGACGTTTAGCTGCAACCCGGCTTTTGCGCTTTCTTCTTTCACCTTGATCTAGAAGGCTCCTCAGCTCCTCCTCGCTTTCGGCCATCAGAGTGGTGTCATCTGCATATCTGAGGTTGTTAATGTTTCTTCCAGCAATTTTCACCCCAGCTTTGCATTCATCCAGCCCCGCACATCGCATGATGTGTTCTGCATACAAGTTAAAAAGGTTGGGTGAGAGGATGCAGCCTTGCCGTACGCCTTTCCCAATCTTGAACCAGTCTGTTGTTCCGTGGTCAGTACTGACTGTTGCTACTTGGTCCTTGTACAGATTCCTCAGGAGAGAGACTAGGTGGCTTGGGATGCCCATCCCACTAAGAACTTGCCACAATTTATTATGATCCACACAGTCAAAGGCTTTAGAATAGTCAATGAAGCAGAAGTAGATGTTTTTCTGAAACTCCCTGCCTTTCTCCATTATCCAGCGGATATTGGCAATCTGGTCTCTCGTTCCTCTGCCTTTTCTAAACCCAGCTTGAACATCTGGCAACTCTCGCTCCATGTATTGCTGGAGTCTTCCTTGCAGGATCTTGAGCATTACCTTATTGGCATGAGAAATAAGGGCCACTGTACGGAAGTTTGAGCAGTCTTTCGCATTTCCCTTTTTTGGTATGGGGATATAAGTTGATTTTTTCCAGTCTGATGGCCATTCTTGTGTTTTCCATATTTGCTGGCATATGGCATGCATCACCTTGACAGCATCCTCTTTCAAGCTGGGATCCCGTTGTCTCCTGCTGCCTTGTTGTTAGCAATGCTTCTTAAGGCCCATTCAACCTCACTCCTCAGGATGTCTGGTTCTAATTCATTCACCACACCGTCATAACTATCCTCAATATTATTATCCTTCATATACAGATCTTCTGTATAGTCTCGCCACCTTCTCTTGATCTCTTCAGCTTCTGTTAGGTCCCTGCCATCTTTGTTTCTTATCATACCAATTTTTGCCTGAAATTTACCTCCAATGTTTCTAATTTTCTGGAAGAGATCTCTTGTCCTTCCTATTCTGTTGTCTTCTTCCACTTCCATGCATTGCTTATTTAAAAATAGTTCCTTATCTCTTCTGGCTAACCTCTGGAATTGCGCATTTAACTGGGCATATCTCCCCTTATCCTGTTTCCTTTTGCTTTCCTCCTTTCTTGGGCTACTTCCAGTGTCTCAGCAGACAACCATTTTGCCTTCTTGGTTTTCTTTTTCTTTGGGACGTACTTTGTTGCCGCCTCCTGAACAATGTCTCGGACTTCTGTCCATAGTTCTTCTGGGACTCTGTTTACTAAATCTAGTCCTTCAAATCTGTTCTTCACTTCCACTGTATATTCGCTAGGAATGTTAGTGAGATCATATCTAACTTGTCTGTGTATTTTCCCTGATCTCTTTAGTTTTATTCTAAATTGAGCAATAAGAAGTTCGTGATCTGAGCTACAGTCAGCCCCAGGTCTTGTTTTCACCGACTGGATGGATGTCCGCCACCTTTGGTTGCAAAGGATGTAGTCAATCTGATTTCGGTGTTGACCGTCTGGTGAGGTCCATGTGTAAAGCCGGCTTTTAGGTTGTTGGAAGAGAGTATTCGTTATACACAGCGAGTTTTCCTGGCAAAATTCTATCAGCCTGCGTCCCGCTTCATTTTGTTCTCCCAGACCATGCTTGCCTGTGATCCCAGTTGTCATTTGACTTCCCACCTTGGCATTCCAGTCTCCTGTAATGAAAATAATGTCTCTTTTTGGTGTATTATCCAGTAGGTCCTGCAGATCCTCATAGAACTGATCTACTTCTGCTTCTTCAGCAGCTGTGGTTGGGGCATATTATATTATGTTATTATATATTATATTACTACATTATAACATATATTATTTGTCATTTTTTGGGTTGTATCCAAGCACCGCTTTAGCTAATTTCTTATTAATTATGAAGGCTACTCCATTTCTTCGATGTTCCTCTTGGCCGCAGTAGTAGATCTGGTGGTCATCTGATGTGAAGTGGCCCATTCCAGTCCATTTCAGTTCGCTGACCCCCAGAATGTCTATCTTTAGTCTTGACATCTCACCAATAACAACATCCAATTTGCCCTGGCTCATAGATCTTACATTCCAGGTTCCTATGGTGTGTTAATCTTTAGAGCATCGGATTCGTCGTTCACCTCCAGTACCGTCGGCCGCTAGCCTTCTTTTCGGCTTTGAGCTAGCTGCGTCATCACATCTGGGGCTAGTTGAACTTATCCTCTGCTCCTCCCCAGTAGCATTTTGGCCATCTTCCGACCTGGGAGTCCCATCTTCCAATGGCATACCGACATATCTCTGGTTGTACTGGTCCATTTAGTTTTCTTGGCAAGGATACTGGGGTGGTTTGCCATTGCCTTCCCCAGGGATCACGCTTGGTCTGACCTCTCTGCCACGACCGTCCCGTCTTGGGTGGCCCTTCACCGTTTCGCTCATGACATCATTGAGGTGCTCAAGCTCCAGCGCCCCGACAAGGCGGTGATCCTTTGCTTTTATATCTTTACTCTTATTATAATATTATTATTACTATCATCAATGTATTTTATTATTATTATTATTATTATTATTGTTAAGATTATGCTAATGCTATTACTATATTATTATTATTATTATTATTATTATTATTATTATTATTATTATTAACCTGGAAATCCTCTTTTGCTCCCTGCAATTTATTGTATCTCCCTAGAACTTCCCAATATAGGTTTTTCATACCCACTGGAGGCCTAAAAGAGAACACGTGACTCTGTGGCGCTTAAAGCGGTCTCAAACCGCGTTAACTCTGCAGTAGAGACGCACCCTTGGGCGTTAGATGACCCCTTGCCCTTCCTGAAGGTCAGAGGGCGGAACCCTGATGCCAGACACCCCGTTTCGAAGAGATACGTGAGGCAAATTCCCCTTTTTCCCCCCTTCTTGTCTTTTCTGCCTCTTCCTCTCACCTTCTCTGCATCGCCAAAGCGCCCAACCACTTCGCCTCAGCCCGGCCGCCGCCATCTTTGATGAGGGCACCGCTTCTGCTGGGCCCGCCTCTAAACAAGGGAGGCTGCCATTTTTGGAAAGGGCAAAAGGGGCGGAGTTTGACGTCGTCGCCTCAGCCCGGCTGCCGCCATCTTTGATGAGGGCATCGGGATTGCTAGGTCCACCTCTAAACAAGCGAGGCCGCCATTTTTGGAAAGGGCAAAAGGGGCGGAGTTTGACGTCGTCGCTCACAATTACGTCTAAAGGCGTCGCCGAGGAAGTGGCGACAAAGAGGAAAAGCTGAGAGAGACGCCAGGACAGAGGAGAAGGAGGAGAGGCTTCTTCTGAGGCATTTCACATTTATTTCCATATTTATCTTTCTGTGTTTGTAATTTTTTGAAATTGGGCGTCACTTTGAATGTGGGAAGGGGAATAATAAGAATAATAATAGAATTATATATAATATAATTTTAACAATAATAATAGAATTATATATAATATTATTATAATAATATAATATAATATAATCAACTACCAAGCTTGCAAACTCTGTTTTGTCTGTTTGTTGAAAAATTTGTTTAAAATGTAATACAATTGTCTGGTTGATATTGACACAATATACATTAAATAAGTGAATAAATAATTACAACAATATAGTATTGTAATATAGAATTCTATATAATATGTAGAATTATTGCAATATATTATTGTAATATAATATAAGTGAATATAGAATTATATATGATATAATATGTGGAATTATAACATAGTATTGTAATATAATGTAAGTGAATATAGAATTATATATGATATAATATATAGAATTGTAACAATATAGTATTGCATGTAAGTAAATATAGAATTATAATATATATATATATATATATATATAATTATAACAATATCATATTGTAATATAATGTGAGTAAATATAGAATTACATATAATATATATAATTATAACAATATAGTTTTGTATAATAATGTAAGTGAATATAGAATTATATATTATATAATATATATAACTATAATAATATATTATTGTAATATAATGTAAGTGAATATAGAATTATATATTATATAATATATATAATTATAACAATATATTATTGTAATATAATATAAGTGAATATAGAATTATATATGATATAATATGTGGAATTATAACATAGTATTGTAATATAATGTAAGTGAATATATAATTATATATAATATAATATATATATAATTATAACAATATAGTATTGTAATATAATGTAAGTGAATATAGAATTATATATGATATAATATATAGAATTGTAACAATATAGTATTGTAATATAATGTAAGTAAATATAGAATTATATAATATATATATATAATTATAACAATATCGTATTGTAATATAATGTGAGTAAATATAGAATTACATATAATATATATAATTATAACAATATAGTTTTGTATAATAATGTAAGTGAATATAGAATTATATATTATATAATATATATAACTATAATAATATATTATTGTAATATAATGTAAGTGAATATAGAATTATATATTATATAATATATATAATTATAACAATATATTATTGTAATATAATATAAGTGAATATAGAATTATATATGATATAATATGTGGAATTATAACATAGTATTGTAATATAATGTAAGTGAATATAGAATTATATATGATATAATATATAGAATTGTAACAATATAGTATTGTAATATAATGTAAGTAAATATAGAATTATATAATATATATATATAATTAATATGTTATATTATATATAATTATATAATATATTGTATATAATATTATATATATATTTAAATACTATATAATCTAAAATATAGTTTATGTATTATATATATAATTATAACAATATAATATTTAATACAATTTAATAAATATATATATTTAATTATTATATATTATATAATTATAACAATATAATATTTAAATATAATATATAATATTTAAATATTATATTATATTTAAATGTTATATAATATAAAATATAATTTTTATATGTAATATATACAATTATAAGAATATAATGCTGTAATTATTATTATTATTGTTGTTATTATTGGGGCTGGTTTTCCTCAGAGCTTTGAGAAGTTATATTTTTGGACATTGGTTTCCAAAATACAAAAAGTGTGCAACCTGGGATATCTCACTATATTTTGCTAGTACATTCTGGAACTCTATTGTTAAAAATGTAATTTCTCTAACAACTTAAATCCCTGAATCATTGGATTTAATTATATCTTTCCTCCCCATAATTATTGTTTGCTTCAGCTAGTTGAAACATATGCCTTGCCTGCTTTTGTTTTGAACTTGCAGATATTTTTTTTACATTAGATGCAAATTCCTTTCCATGAATGGGGCGCAAATCTTATACATTGACTAGCCGTCCCCTGCCACGCGTTGCTGTGGCCCAGTCTGGCGATCTGGAAAATAAAGTAATTAGAAAGTGCTGGTTTCTAATCTATGTAATGTCTTTATGCTTGTGGGTAAACAGTATTTCTTGCTGTTTCTTTGTCAGTGTTGATGTGGAGAGTGTCTGGTTTGCCCACCCTGGAACACGCAACATATCATAGTCCTTCTTTAGGGGTCCCTTTCAAATCTATGATACTATATCTGTGTGTGTGTGTGAATCATATCTATAGCTATGGCTGGATGGCTCTTTGTCAGGAGGGCTTTGATTATGTTTTCTTGCCCTGGTGAAGGAAGTTGGACTGGGTGGCCTTAAGTATTTTCTGTTGGTCATGGGGGTTCTGTGTGAGAAGTTTGCCCCAATTCTGTCGTTGGTGGGGTGCAGAATGCTCTTTGATCGTAGGTGAACTATAAATCAGAGCAATTACAACTCCCAAACCTCAAGGTCTGTTTCCCCAAACTCTGCCTGTGTTCATATTTGGGCATATGGAATATTTATGGCAAGTTTGGTCCAGATCCATCATTGTTTGAGTCCACAGGGCCCTCTGGATATAGGTGAACTATAACTCCCAAATTCAAAGTCAATGCCCATCAAAACCATCCAGTATTTTCCATTGGTCATGGGAGTTCTGTGTGCCAAGTTTGGCCCAATTCTGTCATTGGTGGGGTTCTGAATGTTCTTTGATTGCAAGTGAACTATAAATCCCAGCAACTGCAACTCCCAAATATCAAGATCTATTTTACCCTAACTCCACCCGTATTCACATTTGGGCATATTGAGTATTTGTGCAAAGTTTGGGCCATCTCTATCATTGGTGTTGTTCTGAATGTTCTTTGATTTCAAATGAACTATAAACCGCAGCAACTACAACTCCCAAATGTCAAGGTCTATTTTCCCCAAACTCCACTAGTGTTCACATTTGGACATATTGAGTATTCATGCCAAGTTTGTTCCAGCTCCATCATTGTTTGAGTCCACAGGGCCCTCTGGATGTAGGTGAACTACAACTCCCAAACTCAAGGTCAATGCCCATCAAAACCTTCCAGTATTTTTTGCTGGTCACGGAAGTCCTGTGTACCATGTTTGGTTCAATTCCATTGTTGGTAGAGTTCAGAATGCTTTTTGATTGTAGGTGAACTATAAATCCCAGCAACTACAACTCCCAAATGACAAAATCAATTTTTTTTTAGTGATAGTCACTCTTTGGGTTAGTAGATGTCTTGTGTCCAAATTCGGTGCCAATTCGTCCAGTGGTTTTTGAATTATGTTAATCCCACAAATGAACATTACATTTTTATTTATATAGATAGGTTCAGTATATGTTTACAGGTGACTTGACGGCAAAGAGACACATGTGATCTGACCGTGGCTCCTTTCCTCCCTGCAAAGGCTGCAAACTAGAATGTCCAAAACATGGAGACAGTTGCCAGTCCTCCAACAGCACAATTAAACAAGAAATCAGACTTTCAGACAAGGAACAGAATGTATTGTCAAAGGCTTTCATGGCCGGAATCAATGTGTTGTTGTAGGTTTTTTCGGGCTATATGGCCAGGTTCTAGAGGCATTCTCTCCTGACGTTTCGCCTGCATCTATAGCAAGCATCCTCAGAGGTTGTGAGGTCTGTTGGAACTAGGAAAAAGGGTTTATATATCTGCGGAATGACCAGGGTGGGACAAAGGACTCTTGTCTGCTGGAGCTAAGTGTGAATGTTTCAACTGACCACCTTGATTAGCATTTGATGTCCTGGCAGTGCCTGGGGAAATCTTTTGTTTAGAGGTGATTAGATGTCTCAGGTTGTTTCCTCTTGTAATTTTAGAGTTTTTAAATACTGGTAGCCAAATTTTGTTCATTTTCATGGTCTCTTCTTTTCTGTTGAAATTGTCCACATGCTTGTGGATTTCAATGGCTTCTCTGTGTAGTCTGACATGGTGGTTGTTAGAGTTGTTAGGTTGTTAGAAATCCACAAGCATGTGGACAATTTCAACAGAAAGGAGGAAACCATGAAAATGAACAAAATCTGGCTACCAGTATTAAAAAAACTCTAAAATTAAAACAGCAAAACAGCAGAGGGAAAACAATCAGAGACATCTAATCACCTCAACAAAAGATTGCCCCAGGCACTGCCAGGCCATCGAATGCTGTGAACCGGCCTGAGTCCCTCTTCGGAGGTTGAGAAGACCGGGTTATAAAAGCTTTAAATAAATAAATAAATAGGTTCTTGTGGGTTTTTTCGGGCTATAGAGCCATGTTCTAGAGGCATTTCTCCTGACGTTTCGCCTGCATCTATGGCAAGCATCCTCAGAGGTATGAGGTCTGTTGGAATTAGGACAATGGGTTTATATATCTGTGGAATGGCTGGGGTGGGGCAAGGAGCTCTTCCCTGCTGCAGTTAGGTGTGAATGTTTAGCTGATCACCTTCATTAGCATTTGAAGGTCTGCCTGAGCCTGGGAAAATCTGTTCCTGGGAGGTGTTAATCTGTGCCTGGTTTTTTCCTCTGTGTTGTTTAGCTGTTATAATTTTAGAGTTTTTTAATACTGGTAGCCAGATTTTGTTCTGGCTAAATAAATGCTGATCAAGGTGGTCAGTTGAAACATTCACACCTAGCTCCAGCAGACAAGAGTTCCATGAAAATTAACAAAATCTGGCTACCAGTATTAAAAAACTCTAAAATTAAACTCTAAAATTAAAACAGCAAAACAGCAGAGGGAAAACAACCAGGGACATCTAGTCACCTCTCAACAAAAGATTGCCCCAAGCACTGCCAGGCTATCAAATGCTAATCAGGGTGGTCAGTTGAAACATTCACACCTAGCTCCAGCAGACAAGAGTCCATTGGTCTTTCCACAGATATATAAACCCTTTTTCCTAGTTCCAACAGACCTCACTACCTCTGAGGATGCTTGCCATAGATGCAGGCGAAAAGTCAGAAGAAAATGCCTCTAGAATATGGCCATATAGCCCGAAAAAAACCCTACAACAACCCAAAGAACAGAATTTTTTTTTTCAATTTTTGTTACACAGGGTTGCCTGCCCATCCTAGCTTTATGAGCCAACGATGCAATCTAAATCTCGTGGCCTAGGTGTGTTACTCTTCTTCTTCAATTTGATGCATTTTATGGATATGAGGAGGCAATGAGCCATACCTTGAAATGTAGCGGTCAACCTACCCTTTGTCACATTATATGGCATGTAACTCATATATCTGCTCCACCACGCTGCATTTTTAAACACGTACAAGCACTCAGCGGAAAGCACTATTGCTAGGCCTTAAAAAATCTTATCTTTACCATTCAGGGAAAGGAGGAGTCTTCTAGGGATCAGTTGTTTATAAATGTGTTCAGATTAGATAAAAGATACTGTAGTCGTGTTTTCTATCATTCTTGGTATACTTGCATTGACACCGGTGTGGCAAAAAACTAGTTTCCTGATTGGGTAGACATTTATGTGCTCTAAATGTAAACTATCTTTCATAACCAATTTTATTTAATACTTGCAGTCCCCTGACATACGTTCCTGTGGCCCACATGGGAGTTCTGTGTGGGAGGTTTGGCCCAATTCTATCGTTGGTGGGGTTCAGAATGCTCTTTGACTGTAGGTGAACTACAAATCTCAGCAACTACAACTCCCAAATGTCAAGATTCTATTTTCCCCAAACTCCACATTTGGGCATATTGAGTATTCTCATAGAGTTTGGTCCAGATACATCATGGTTTGAGTCCACAGTCATCTTTGGATGTAAGTGAACTACAACTCCAAAACTCAAGGTCAATGCCCACCAAACCCTTCCAGTATTTTCTGGTGGTCATGGAAGAACTGTGTGCCAAGTTTGGTTCAATTCCATTGTTGGTGGGGTTCAGAATGCTCTGTGATTGTAGGTGAACTATAAATCCCAGTAACTACAACTCCCAAATGTCAAAGTCTCTTTCCCCCCAAACTCCACCAGTGTTGACATCTGGGCATATGGAGTATTCGTGTAGAGTTTGGTCCAGATCCATCATTGTTTGAGTCCACAGTGCTCTCTGGATGGAGATGAACTACAACTCCAAAATCAAAGGACACTGCCCACCAAACCCTTCCAGCATTTTCTGTTGGTCACGGGAGAACTGTGTGCCAAGTTTGGTTCAATTCCATCGTTGGTGGGGTTCAGAATGCTCTGTGATTGTAGTTGAACTAGAAATCCCAGCAACTACAACTCCCAAATGACAAAATCATTTTTTTTTTGAGTGAAGGACATACATTGGGTTGTTAGGTGTCTTGTGTCCAAATTTGATATCAATTCGTCCAGTTTCCATAAGTTGGGAGTTGTGGTTTCCTTAAGATGTAGTTTCTGTAGCTTCCGTAAGACATAGTTTCCGTAAGATGTAGTTTCTGCAGTTTCCGTAAGGTGTAGTAGTAAGGCAGAACATCAAATAAAATACACTCAAAACCGAGAGTTACACAATATAAACATAATAATTACATTGGATAGACCACATCAGCCCTGGTTTCTGATACAGAACATATGCCATCCAGTTAGTTGCCATCTGCTCACCCACAGAAAACCACTTTTCTGTGCATTTAATTTCAAGTAAATGGCTTTCTTTCTCAATCAGCTCTTTCTGATTCCTTTCCAGTCTGGTGATAAACATGGCGGAATATGGGATCTCTATGGGGCAGCAAGTGGCAGTGGTTTGGGACAGCCATTCGCCCCCTGAAGCCCTGCAGTCCCTTGTGCAGAACATCCAGGCGGCGGTTGGAGTCGAGGGCCATGTCTCTGTCGAAAACGTCAACCAGTTGCTGCAGTGTAAGTGTTCCAAAGCATTTGTTATTGTGCACGGCATAAATAATGATGATGCTAAATGGAGGGAGGGAGATGTTTACTGCTGGGCAGTATCTTTTCCTAATTTATTCTGATTTCACAACTTTCCGTTTCTTATGTACAACTCCATTTTGCAAAGATTGCAAAATGATCCCCTATATACCAGTGTTTCCCAACCTGGGGGTCATGAGGGAGGTTTCTGATAGATCGCCAAAGATCATCAGAAAACAAATATTTTTGGCAGAGAAGGCTGAAGATCTCTCTACCTGTCCTTCTCTTCCTTTTTGGAAACAGATGGTGAATCCTCCCACCAAATTTTATTTATTTATTTATTTATTTATTTATTTCGGGTACTTTTACCCCGCCCTTCTCAACCCCCGAGGGGGGACTCAGGGCGGCTTACAAAAGGCACAATTCGATGCCTATACAAATTTACACATAATGTACAAAACCATAGTTAAAAACAATTATCACAGTTAAAACAATCAAAACAATCAATATACTTGACATCATATAAAAACTATTCACATGCTCAGCGTTCGTCTTTCAGAGTTCCAAATTCCATTCCATTAGTCATTTCCTGGCCATTCTCAAAGTCCTTTCTTTATCTGCACGATTGTCCGAATGCCTGGTCCCAAATCCATGTTTTCAGTTTTTTTCCTGAAGGAAAGGAGTGATGTCGCTGATCTAATTTCCCTGGGTGAGCGAATTCCATGGGGGGGGGCACCACCGAGAAGGCCCTGCTCCTCGTCCCCACCAATCTCACTTGTGACAGTGGTGGGGTCAAGAGCAGGGCCTCCCCGGAAGATCTTAAACTCCGAGGTGGGACGTAGAGGGAGATCCGGAGCCGTATAGGGTTTTGTAGGTCAAAACCAGCACTTTGAATTGTGCTCGGAACTGGATCGGCAGCCAGTAGAGCTGACACAACAGGGGGGTGGTATGCTCCCTGTATGACGCTCCGGTGAGCAGTCTGGCTGCCTCCCGCTGGACTAGTTGGAGTTTCCGAACAGTCTTCAAAGGCAACCCCACGTAGAGCGCGTTGCAGTAATCTAATCGGGATGTAACAAGAGCATGGACCACCGTGGCCAGATCTGACTTCCCAAGGTACGGGCGCAGCTGGCGCACAAGTTTTAATTGTGCAAAAGCTCTCCCAGCCACCGCCGAGACCTTGGGTTCCAGGCTCAGCGATGAGTCCAGATCACTCCCAAGCTGCGAACCTGCGTCTTCAGGGGTTCCTGAAGTCCAAAAGTCTTCCTCCTGCTGTGATTGGCTGGCCTCTCAGCTGACCTCTCAGCCAAGGGGACGCTGTTTCTGAGACTCCAAGCAGGGAGGGAGAGTAGGTGTGCTCTACCCTAAATCACTGTCAATTCCTCCCACATCCCTCCAGTATTTTCTATAGGTCATGGGGTTTTTCTTTTTATGGGAATTTTTGCACAATTCTATCATTGGTGGGGTTCAGAATCCTATTTGATTGTAGGTGAACTATAAATCCCAGCAACTGCAACTCTCAAATATCAAATTCTATTTTCCCCAAACTCCACCAGTGTTCATATTTGGGCATATTGAATATTTGTGCCAAGTTTGGTCCAGATGCATCACTGTTGGAGTTCACAGTGCTCTCTGGATGTAGGTGAACTACAACTCCCAAACTAAAGGTCAATGCCCACCAACCCTTCCAATATTTTCTATTGGTTGTGGGAGTTCTTTGTGCCAAGTTTGGTTCAATTCCATCGCTGGTGGAGTTCCGAATGCTCTTTGATTGTAGGGGAACTATAAATCCCAGCAACTACAACTCCCAAATGTCAGGGTCTATTTTCCCCAAACCCCACCAGTGTTCATATTTGGGCATATTGAATATTTATGCCAAGTTTGTTCCAGATCCATCATTGTTTGTGTCCACAGTGCTCTGGATATAGGTGAACTACAACTCCCAAACTCAAAGTCAATGCCCACGAACCCTTCCAATATTTTTTGTTGGTTGTGGGAGTTCTGTGTGCCAAGTTTGGTTCAATTCCATCGCTGGTGGAGTTCCGAATGCTCTTTGATTGTAGGGGAACTATAAATCCCAGCTACTACAACTCCCAAATGACAAAATCAATCCCCCCACAACCCCAGCAGTATTCAAATTTGGGCATATCAGGTATTTGTGCCAAATTTGACCCAGTGAATGAAAATACATCCTGCATATCAGCTATTTATAATATAATGTAATATAATATATTGTATATACATATAATATTTATAATATTATAATGCAATGCAATGTAATAATGTGTTTATATTGTGTTTACTGTATTGATGTATTGATATTATTATTTAGTATTATAATACTACTGCTAATAATGTGATATTAATTATTTATTTATATTACATGTAATATTACTAATAATATTACAATATAATGATATACTACAATATAGTAACATTTAATACTGATATTATACTATGCTAATAATCTATATATATAAAAACGCTCTGCGCATAATGAGTACCTTAAAAACAAAAGAACCAATGAACAAATTTGGCAACAATACATCTCACAACACAAGGAGTGACCATCACTCAAAAAATTATGATTTTGTCATTTGGGAGTTGTAGTCGCTGGGATTTATAGTTCACTTACAGTCAAAGAGCATTCTGAACTCCATCAATGATGGAATTGAACCAAACTTGGCACGCAGAACTCACATGACCAACAGAAAATACTGGAAGGGTTTGGTGGGCATTGACCTTGAGTTTGGGAGTTGTAGTTCACCTACATCAAGAGAGCACTGTGGACTCAAACAATGATGGATCTGGACCAAACTCTACACGAATACCCAGTATGCCCAAATGTGAACACTGGTGGAGTTTGGGGAAAATAGAATCTTGACATTTGGGAGTTGTAGTTGCTAGGATTTATAGTTCACCTACAATCACAGAGCATTCTGAACCCCACCAACGATAGAATTGGGCCAAACCTCCCACACAGAACCCCCATGTGGGCCACAGCAACGTGGGCAGGGGACAGCTAGTATAATATATTGTATGTTTATATATCTTGTAAGCCGCTCTGAGTCCCCTTCGAGGTGAGAATAGCAGCATATAAATGTCATAAATAATAATAATAATAATATATTTACAGTATGATTCATAACAGTAGCAAAGTTACAGTTATGAAGTAGCAATGAAAATAATGTTATGGTTGGGGGTCACCACAACATAAGGAACTGGATTAAGGGGTCGTGGCATTAGGAAGGTGGAGAAACACTGCAATATACCCTGCTTTTTTATCTCTTCAGCATCCCATAAGGAGTCCAGTTTTGATGTGATTCTCTCAGGCATGGTGCCTGGCGGCTCAACGGCGCACAGTACGGAAGTGCTGGCCGAAATAGCGCGGATCCTCAAGCCAGGAGGACGGGTGCTTCTGAAGGAAGTGGTGACAACAGATACAAGTAAGGAATTGACCCTTCATTGCCATGGCTCAATGCTGTGGAATTGCACTATGTAACAAAATTCGGGGAAAAAAATCTCTTCCTGGTTTGGAAGTGTTATTTTATTTATTTATTTATGTATTTATTTGCTTTATTTGTATACCGCTCTTCTCAGCCCTTAAGGCAACTCAGAGCGGTTTACAACAATTTAGGTATACACAATACAAAATCATTAAGCATTTAAAAGCAATAGCATCACAAATCATTAAACATCAATATCAATACATCACTACATCAATATAACAAATCCATCAGGTCTCGTCAATGAAATCAGAATCCAAACTTTTTATCTGATATTCCGTGTTCCGATAGTCAGTCAATCAATCACACTGCTTGGTCGAATGCCTGTTCAAACAGCCAGGTCTTTACTTTCCTCCGGAATGCCAGCAAGGAGGGGGTCGATCTAATATCTGCAGGAAGGGCGTTCCACAGCCGAGGGGCCACCACTGAGAAGGCCCTGTCTCTCGTCCCCGCCAGGCGTGCTTGTGAAGCCGGCGGGATCGAGAGCAGGGCCTCCCCAGACGATCTTAATGTCCTAACTGGTTCATAGGAGGAGACGCGTTCGGACAGGTAGGTCGGGCCAGAACCGTTTAGGCACTTTGAATTGTGCCCGGTAGCAAACTGGCAGCCAGTGGAGCTGGCGCAGCAGTGGAGTGGTGTGCTCCCTGAGTGCCGCTCCTGTTAGCATCCTGGCTGCCGATCGTTGGACCATTTGAAGCTTCCGAGCAGTCTTCAGAGGCAACCCCACGTAGAGAGTGTTGCAGTAGTCTATACGGGATGTGACTAGAGCATGGACTACCGTGGCCAAGTCAGACTTCCCAAGGTACGGGCGCAGCTGGCGCACAAGTTTTAACTGTGCAAATGCTCCCCTGGTCACCGCTGAAACCTGAGGTTCCAGGCTCAGCGATGAGTCCAAGATCACACCCAAGCTGCGAACCTGCGTCTTCAGGGGGAGTGCGACCCCGTCCAACACAGGCTGTAACCCTATGCCCTGTTTGGCTTTGCGACTGACCAGGAGTACCTCTGTCTTGCCTGGATTCAATTTCAATTTGTTCGCCCTCATCCAGACCGTCACAGCGGCCAAGCACCGGTTCAGGACCTGGACAGCTTCCTTTCTGTTTCATTGTGCAGTCTTTACTGTGAAAGCAGTAGTTCTACTCCAGAAACTTCATTTTTGAGGCTACCATAAATTATATTGAATTGGTTGAGACTCAATGAGATCATTATTGAAAAACTAGGGCAAAACGTGCTGCAAGGTGTCCCTTCTGCAAAGAAAATAACTTTTTGCAGTTTAATAATTATAATTATATATTTACAGTACATGTCATATTACTAATAATATTACAATATAATGGTATAGTGCAATATAGTAATATATAATACTGATATTGTACTATGCTAATAATATAATATATTGTATAAAAATATATATTGTAAGCCACTCTGAGTCCCCTTTGGGGTGAGAAGGGCGGCATACAAATGTCGTAAATAAATAAATTAATAAATAATAAACTTTTCCCATGTTTTTGTGATAGGACCATTTAGGACATGACATTTAAGCACAATTCCTAGGGCTTATTTTTTGGAAAATACGGTATTTTAACTTAACAAACACTCACTCTGACCTATAGTTGTATTAATTCTGAATTATTATTATCATCACTAGCTGTCCCCAGCCACGAGTTGCTGTGGCACAGTCTGTGTATATGTGTTTTGTGTGTGTGTATATGTGAGTATATTTATGTATATGTGTATATATCTGGTTTTGTGCATGCGTTGTAATGTTTTTTTATTATTTTATTTTGGCTTATTAAGTCTCTTCCGCATTTTTATGAGTGGTGGTCACTCGTTGGCCTGATAGGTGTCTTGTGTCCAAATTTGGTGTCAATTTGTCCAGTGGTTTTTGAGTTATGTTAATTTATATAGATATAATAATGATGGTGTGATGGGTTAAACCATTGTGCCGACTGGACTGCTGACCGAAAGGTTGGCGGTTTGAATCCAAGGAGCGGGATGAGCTCCTGTCTGTCAGCTCCAGCTTCCCATGTGGGGACAGGAGAGAAGCCTCCCACAGGATGGTAAAATTAATAGTTGTATTAATTCTGAAATATTATTATTATCATCATTATAATAATGATGGTGTGGTGGGTTAAACCATTGTGCCAACTGGACTGCTGACCGAAAGATCGGCAGTTTGAATCCAGGGAGCCGGTGAGTTTCCGTCTGTCAGCTCCAGCTTCCCATGCAGAGACAGGAGAGAAGCCTCCCACATGATGGTAAATTAATAGTTGTATTAATTCTGAATTATCACCATTATCATAATGATGGTGTGATGAGTTAAAACACTGTGTCAGTAGGACTGCTGACCAAAAGGTCAGCGGTTTGAATCCAGGGAGTTGGATGGGCTCCTGTCTGTCAGCTCCAGCTTCCCATGTGGGGACAGGAGAGAAGCCTCCCACAGGATGGTAAAATTAATAGTTGTATTAATTCTGAATTATTATTAATTATTATTATTATGGTGTGATGGGTTAATACATTGTGCCAACAGGATTGCTGACCAAAAGGTCAGCGGTTTGAATCCAGGGAGTTGGATGGGCTCCTGTCTGTCAGCTCCAGCTTCCCATGTGGGGACAGGAGAAAAGCCTCCCACAGGGTGGTAAAATTCTCTCACACCAGAAGTGACTTGCAGTTTCTCAAGTCACTCCAGACACGGGAAGAAAAATATTAATTATTAACTTTGTTTATATCCTGCCTTTCTCCCTGTGGGGTCTCAAGGCAGCTCACAACCACACAATCTAATCACAATTTAAAACAAAACCTATACAAAAAATGGGGAAAACCCTCAAATATTAGTATGCGAATATAAAGTTAGAATACAATTAAAATTATATTTAAAACCCATCTCTTCCTTTTGAGTAAATACAGGCACTTGCTGAAACAGAGTCCCATTTGATATTACTGAAACTGGACTGTGTTGACTCATTCCTTTTTTGCTTGATTCCTACATTTCATGTTTACCTAGCAAATCTCATTAGTTTTCCCCATTTTATCTATTTTTATTTCCCGTCTTTTCTCTTATCCTGCATATGGGGATTCGTTGACCATTACTATCAAAGGTCATGCTTCACGAACTGTTTGAGCCTCTTATCCTATAGTTAGAAAAATTATCATACGAAAGCTGACTGACACAACCCGGGGATCACAACCAGACACAGTGAAGACATCTGCCCTTGCGCTATGCTACTCTGCGGCTGCCCAGTGTGGAACACATCTCACCACACTAAAACAGTAGATGTGACTCTTAATGAGACATGCCGCATTATCACGGGGTGTCTGTGCCCTACACCACTGGAGAAATTACACTGTCTAGCCGGTATTGCACCACCTGACATCCACCGGGAAGTGGCAGCCAATAGTGAAAGGACCAAGGCAGAGACATCTCCAGCTCATCCCCTGTTTGGGTATCAGCCAGCACGTCAACGACTTAAATCTAGACATAGTTTTCTAAGATCTACAGAGACACTCGCTGGAACACCTCAGCAAGCGAGAGTCCAAAAGTGGCAGGCTCAAACCCAGAACCTCAATCAATGGCTGATACCCAATGAGAGACTCCCTCCTGGGCACACAGAAGACTGGGTGACTTGGAAGGTGCTGAACAGACTGCGCTCCGGCACCACGAGATGCAGAGACAACCTGAAGAAATGGGGCCACAAAGTGGAATCCACGACATGCGAGTGCGGAGAAGAGCAAACCACTGACCACCTGCTGCAATGCAACCTGAGCCCTGCCACATGCACCAGGGAGGACCTTCTTGCGGCAACACCAGAGGCACTCCAAGTGGCCAGATACTGGTCAAAGGACATTTAGTCAACTACCAAGCTTGCAAACTTTGTGTTTTGTTTGTTTCAATGTTTGTTTGTTTGTTTAAAAATGCAATACAACTGTTTGGTTTGCTCCTGACACGATAAATAAATAAATCCTATAGTTCGTATTGGGTTTTGACTTCATGTTCTCTCTTCCAGGTAACAGCAACAAACTCAAGGCAAAAGCCAAGCTACCTGCAGCTTTGACCCTCTCTGGATTAGTAGACGTAAAGGAGGTATGTGTTTGGATTTTCAATCTTATATAGATTGTGTCCAAAATGGGCAGTTGTTTAAGATGCTTTTTTAAAAAAAAAACAAAACTTTGAAGTAAATCATAACAAAATTTAAAACTAACGGGAAAAGCCAAAAATTGGAGGATTTAGGCCCCTTCTACACTGCCCTATAAAATCCAGATTATCTTCTTTGAACTGGATTATATGGCAGTCTAGCCCCCAGTGGCGCAGTGGGTTAAAGCACTGAGCTGCTGAGCTTGTTGATCGAAAGGTCGCAGGTTCGATTCTGGGGAGCGGCGTGAGCTACCGCTGTCAGCCCTAGCTTCTGCCAACCTAGCAGTTCGAAAACATCCGGCGGGAAGGTAAGGGCGCTCCATGCAGTCATGCCGGCCACATGACCTTGGAGGTGTCTACGGACAACGCTGGCTCTTCGTCTTAGAAATGGAGATGAGCACCACACCCCAGAGTCAGACATGACTGGACTTAATGTCAGGGGACTACCTTTACCTTTAGACCAGTGTTTCTCAACCTGGGGGTCGGGACCCCTGGAGGGATCGCCAGGGGGTGTCAGAGGGGTCACCAAAGACCACCAGAAAACACAGTATTTTCTGTTGGTCATGGAGGTTCTGTGTGGGAAGTTTGGCCCAATTCAATCCTTGGTAGGGTTCAGAATGCTCTTTGATTGTAGGTGAACTATAAATCCAGCAACTACAACTCCCAAATGTCAAGGTCTATTTCCCCCAAACTCTACTAGTGTTTACATTTGGGCATACTGAGAATCCGTGCGAAGTTTGGTCCAGATCCATCCTTGTTTGAGTCTACAGTTCTCTTTGGATGTAGGTAAACTACAACTCCCAAAACCCAAGGCCAGTGCCCACCAAACCCTTCCAGTATTTTCTGTTGGTCATGGGAATTCTGTGTGCCAAGTTTGATTCAGTTCCATCGTTGATGGAGTTCAGAATGCTCTTTGATTGTAGGTGAACTATATATCCCAGCAACTATAACTCCCATAGGACAAAATCAATACCCTCCCCCAATCTGTTACTATTCATAACAGCAGCAGGATGAGTTATGAAGTAGCAACGAAACTAATTTTATGGTTGGGGGGTCACCATAACATGAGGAAGCGTATTAAGGGGTCATGGCATTAGGAAGGTTGAGAACCACTGCTTTAGACTCATATAACCCAGTTCTGGATTATCTGCTTTGAACATCTGGATTATATGGCAGTGTAGAATGACTTTAGAATACAGCTAAGATGAGCATATTTTTCAGAACCCCCATGACCACCAGAGTGGGCCACAGCAATGCGTGACAGGGGACAGATAGTAAAATAATAGTAAAATAATAATAATAATAATAATAATAATAATAATAATAATAATAATCCATTCAAACCAAGGCCATCCAAGCCAGAATTGAAAAGTCAGCGACAGATCCCAAATGTAGACTCTGCAAGGAAGCAGATGAAACAATAGATCCCATCCTCAGCTGCTGCAAGAAGATCGCACAAACAGACTACAAGCAGAGGCACAACACCGTTGCTCAGATGCTTCATTGGAACTTGTGCCACAAAGACCATCTGCCTGCGACAAAGAACTGGTGGGATCACAAGCTGTAAAAAGTTACAGAGAATGAACACGCCAAACTCCTCTGGGACTTTCGGATTGAGACAGAGTTTTGGAGCATAATACTCCTGACCTCACAATCATGTTAAAAAACAAAGTATGGATTGTCGATGTCACAATCCCAGGTGACAGCAGGATTGCAGAAAAACAATAGGAAAAGATGACACAATATGAGGATTTAAAGATCAAACTGCAAAGACTCTGGCACAAGCCAGTCAAGATGGTCCCAGTGGTGATCGGCACACTAGGTGCAGTGCCTAAAGACCTTGGCCTGTACTTAAACACAATCGGCGCTGAAAATTACCATCTGCCAGCTGCAAAAGGCCACCCTACTGGGATCTCCACATATTATTTGTCGATACATCACACAGTCCTAGACACTTGGGAAGTGTCCGATGTGTAATCCAATACAACAACCAGCAGAGTGATCTTATCTGCTGTGGACTGTTGTGTTTCAAATAATAATAATAGAGTAAAATGATAAATATAGTAATAATTAGAGTAAATTAATACATGTGATAATCTATATATATAAAAATGGTCTGTGCATAATGAGTACCTTAAAAACAAAAGAACCAATGAACGAAATCACACCAAATTTGGCAACAAAACATCTCAATACACAAGGAGTGACCATCACTCAAAAATTATGATTTTGTCATTTGGGAGTTGTAGTTGCTGGGATTTATAGTTCACCTATAATCAAAGAGCATTCCAAACTCCACCAACGATGGAATTGAACCAAACTTGGCACACAGGCCTCCCATGATCAACAGAAAATACTAGCAGCATTTCGTGGGCACTGACCTTGAGTTTGGGAGTTGTAGTTCACCTTCATCTAGAGAGCACTGTGGACTCAAACAATGATGGATCTGGACCAAACTTGGAATGAATATTCCATATGACCAAATATGAACACAGATGGAATTTGGGGAAAATAGACCTTGGCATTTGGGAGTTGTAGTTACTGGGATGTATAGTTCACCTACAATCAAAGACTGTTCTGAATGAACCCCACGAATGACAGAACTGGGGCAAACTTCCGACACAGAACCCCCATGAGCAACAGAAAATACTTAAGGCCATCCAGTCCAACTCCCTTCACCAGGGCAAGAAAACGTAATCAAAGCCCTTCTGACAGAGAGCCATCCAGCCATAGATAGATAGATATGATTCACACACACGCAGATAAAGTATTATAGATTTGAAAGGGACTCCTAAAGATGGATAATTATATGTTGCATGTTCCAGAGTAGGCAAACCAGACAATCTCTACGTCAACACTGTCAAAGAAACACGAAGAAATACTGTTTACCCACAAGCATAAAGAAATTACATAGATTAGAAACCAGCACTTTCTAATTACTTTATTTTCCATATCACCAGACTGGGCCACAGCAACGCGTGGCAGGGGACTGCTAGTAATAATAATAATTGAGTAAAATAATAAATAACCTTGACTCGAGTATAAGCCGAGGGTTACTTTTTCAGCCTAAAAAAATGGTTGAAAAACCAGGCTTATACTTGAGTATATACAGTATTTGGTTTTAAATTGTATTGTATTGGCTTTACTGTAAGCCGGTTAGAAAGAGAAAAAGCAAGGTACATTGTTTCCTCGCTACTTCGCGGTTCACTTATTGCAGACTTGCTGTTTCGCAGATTTCAAAAAATATTAATTTAAAATATATATCATGGTATTTTTGCTGTTTTGTGGGGTTTTCCCGCCCCCACTCTCCAATGCGCTTTCCCTCCTCAGTCCTCCCTCCGTCCTTCAAAGGCCTTTCCTTCCTTTCCCTCACTTTATTTTAAGTTTATAAAGACTTAAAATAGTGTATAACTACTAAAATAATGTATAAATATTAGAATTGATAGAGCATCCCTACATCGCAGTTTTTCACTTATTGCGGGAGGTCCTGGAACCTAACCCCTAACACTGTATAAATAATAATATTTATTATTTATATTTATAATCCTAGACGCTTGGGAAGTGTTCGACTTGTGATTTTGTGATATGAAATCCAGCATATAGATCTCATTTGCTGTGACATACTGTGCTTTTGTGTCAATAATAATAATAATAGCGGCTCTCTAACATTATTATTTTATTTTTCAAACTTTTTTTTAGTTTTGCTAGCAGCTAAGTCTCATATTAATGGTGATCCTTTTAAAATTCTTTAACTTCATTTCACCTCCTGTTATTTGTAAGCCTCCTCAAGTCCTAGTTTTGGGGGGAAAGAAGAGATATAAATAAAGCTGATGTTACTCTGCTTTGTTTTGCCTTGTCTTGCATTCCAGCTCCAGAAGGAGACTTTGACGTCAGAGCAAGCCCTGTCCATCCAGGAACGCCTGGGTTTGCAGGGCGAGGAGCTCCTCTCTGTTCAGATGGAAGGCAAAAAACCAAATTTTGAAGTGGGATCCTCAAGCCAGCTCAGACTTTCTTTTGCCAAAAAGCCCACTGCAGCTGGTAAGAAAGAGATGTGTGCAAGCCTCTCCTTCCTTCCTTCCTTCCTTCCTTCCTTCCTTCCTTCCTTCCTTCCCTCCTTCCTTCCTTCCCTTTTGTTTTTCTTTCCTTCTCTATTTCCTCCCTTCCCTCCCTCCCTCCTCTTCCACTCTTCCTTCCCCTCCCTCCCTCCCTCCCTCCCTCCCTTCCTTTCCTTCTTCCTCCTTCTTCCTTCCCTCCTCCTTCCCCTTTCCTTCCTTCCTTCTTCCTTCTCTTCCACCCTTCCTTCCATTCCTTCCCTCTCTCTTCCCTTCCTTCTTTGCACCTTATTCCTTCCTTTCTATCTCACTCTTCCTCCCTTCTTTGCCTGTTCATTCCCTTCTTTTCCCCTTCCTCCCTCCCTTCCTTTCTCTCTCTCTGTTTCTTTATCTCTTTATCTCTTCCCTCCCTTCTTTGCCACTTTTTCATTCCCTTCTTTTCTCTTTCTTTCCTTCCTTTCTCTCTTTCTTTCTCTCTCTTCCCTACTTTGCCCCTTCTTTTTTCCTTCTTTTCTCATTCCTTCCTTCTTTTCTCTCTCACTCTCTCTTTGCCCCTTCTTTGCCCCTTCTTTATTCCTTCCTTCCCACTCTCTCTTTCTCTTCCCTCCCTTCTTTGCCCCTACTTTATTTCTTTACCCTTTCCTTCCTTTCTCTCTCTCTCTTTCTCTTCGTTTCTCTTTGCCCCTTCTTCCTTCCTTCCTATCTCACTCTCTTCCTCCCTTCTTTGCCTGTTTGTTCCCTTCTTTTTCCGTCCCTCCCTTCCTTTCTCTTTATCTCTTTCTCTCTTGCCTCTCTTCTTTGCCACTTTTTCATTCCCTTCTTTTCTTTTTTTCCCCCTTCTTTTCTTCTTTCTTCCTTCCTCTCTTCCTCTTCTCTTCCCTACCTTCTCTACCCTTCTTTTTTCCTTCTTTTCTCATTCCTTCCTTCTTTTCTCTCTCACTCTCTCTTTGCCCCTTCTTTGCCCCTTCTTTATTCCTTCCTTCCCACTCTCTCTTTCTCTTCCCTCCCTTCTTTGCCCCTACTTTATTTCTTTACCCTTTCCTTCCTTTCTCTCTCTCTCTTTCTCTTCGTTTCTCTTTGCCCCTTCTTCCTTCCTTCCTATCTCACTCTCTTCCTTCTTTGCCTGTTCATTCCCTTTTTCCTTCCCTCCTTCCTTTTCTCTTTCTGTTTCTTTATCTCTTTCTCTCTTCCCTCCCTTCTTTGCCACTTTTTCATTCCCTTCCTTCCTCTTTCTTTCCTTCTTTTCTTCTTTCCTTCCTTCCTCTCTCTCTTCCCTACCTTCTTTGCCCCTTCTTTTTTCCTTCTTTTCTCTTTCCTTCCTTTTCTCGCTCACTATTTTTCTCTCTTTCCTCCCTTCTTTGCCCCTTCTTCATTCCTTCCTTTCTATTTCACTCTCTTCCTCCCTTCTTTGCCTGTTCGTTCCTTTTTTTCCCCCTCCCTCCCTCCCTTTCTCTTGAATGAAAGCATTTCTTTGACCTCTGATCTCCTTCTTGTTGGCTATTCTCACACTCCTTTGAACTCTGAATTCCAAACGGTCAGCCCAATCTAAGATTCCTGTTTAATCAAGGTCAGGTTGCTTGTTAGTGTCAGCCTGGTTGCCTTCCTGCCTACTATCAGGCTGAGAACTATCCTCCTTTTCTGAGTCAATTTGCACCTGGCTAGTTTCAGTATCAAAAACATCATTCTCTGCTGTGGGAAACTGAACTTGCACATGTTCCTCATTGTCTATAACAGGAACATTTTGAACCTGATTGTGAACCTGAATCCCACCATCCTCATCAGAGTCACTCTGAGACCCCATCTGAGTCACAACACTATCAGTCTGTGTCTGTGGTTCCAGCTGAGTCACAACACAGGCCAACGAGTAACCATCACTCATAAAAACATTGAAAAACATGACAGAAGGGAATTTAAAAGCCAAAAAAGCAAAAAGACGCTACAGCGCATGCGCAAGACCAACTCCCCCTGCAAACAAAACACTCAATAGCATGTCCATACTCTCTTCCAGACTACAGTTCCCAGCCAGGGGCAGCTCGTCCATTATGCAAAGTAAGCAATTGCGGTACACTTTTTTTTGCCAGGGGCGCAGAGGCGCCTCTGTAAATGCCCCTCAACTGCCACTTGAGGAGCTCCCCCTCAGCTCACAACAGCCCTAGCAGTCTGGGGGGAGGCGGAGATGCCCGCCTTTCCTGAAGGTAGGCGCAAAAACAAAGGAGGGAGCGGAGGTGGGAGATACCTCCAGCCGGAGGGGCTCTCTCTCTCTCTCTCTCTCTCTCGGTCCCAATGGATGAAGAGAAAGTCAGGAGAAGAGGCGACTTTTGGTGCGCACGCCGGGGTCTTCAGACACGCCTCCGGATCCGAAGCGGGCCAGGCAAGGGAGCAAGTGCGGCGTGGCGGCTCCGCCCCTTGGCCCACCCGCGGATTGGGGAGAGGAGAGAAGTGTGAGGCAGGTGGAGCGCAAGTGGGTGGGTGGGTGGGCAGGCGAGTGGATGCCTGCGCGCGCGCACTGGGCCTCGGGGTCAGCTTATCAAAGGAGAAGGGAAGGGGTGACAAAAGGGGAGCGTGCCTCGGAGGAGAGGGGAGGGGGAGAGAGACACACAGACAGAGGGAGAGGGAGTGGGTGCTGCTTGACCTCCCCCTCCCCCTTTCCCTTATGGGGAAGGGAGGGGGAGAGACAGAAAGAGAGGGGGGTACTGCTTGACCTCCCCCTCCCCCTTAAGGGGAGGGGAGGGGAGAGAGAGAGACTAAGAGGGGGGAGGGGTGAGATAGGGTGCAGGAAGTGAAGAGGTGGAGGGGAGAGAGAGTGCGAGGCAGAGGGGTGTAAGGGGAGAGGGGAGAGGGAGGGGAGCTGCAGAGAGGGAGAGGCCTAAGGAAGGGTGAGTCAAAGAGAGGGGAGGGGAAGGGAGCGGAGAGGGGAGGGGAGAGAAGAGGGTGAGATAGAATGAGTAAGAGGGAAGACGGGAGGGGAGAGGAAGCGGAAGGGAGGAGGGGGACACGGGGAGAGAAAACATAGAGGAGGGGAGAGATGGTCGGATAAGGGCAAGGGGAGAGGAGGGATCAAGGGGAGAGAGTAAGGGGTAGGGGAGAGAAAAGGGGGAGCGAGAGAGCATCAGGGAGCAAGGAGAGCTAGAAAAGGGCCCACGGGGAGGGGGAGAGGAGAGAGAGGAGGGGAGGGGTGCTTGACCTGCCTCTCCCCCTTTCCCTTATGGGGAAGGGAGGGGGAGAGAGAGGAGGGGGGGGGGGGTGCTGCTTGACCTCCCCCCAGGGGCAGCTCAACCATTACGCAAAGCAGTATAGCTGATTTTGCCCAGGGGTGCTCTTGAGGCGCTCTTGGGAGAAAATAGACCTTGACATATGTGAGTTGTAGTTGCTGGGATGTATAGTTCACCTACAATCAAAGAGCATTCTGAACTCCACCAATGATGGAATTGAACGAATGATGGAATTGAACATTTGAAATATAGTTGATGTTGCCCAGGGGTGCTCTTGAGGCGCTCTTGGGGGAAAATAGACCTTGACATATGCAAGTTGTAGTTAGTGGGATGTATAGTTCACCTACAATCAAGGAGCATTCTGAACTCCACCAATGATGGAATTGAACGAATGATGGAATTGAACATTTGAAATATAGTTGATGTTGCTCAGGGGTGCTCTTGAGGCGCTCTTGGGGGAAAATAGACCTTGACATATGCGAGTTGTAGTTACTGGGATGTATAGTTCACCTACAATCAAAGAGCATTCTGAACTCCACCAATGATGGAATTGAACCAAATATGCCACACAGAACTCCCACGACGAACAGAAAATATATATCAGTGATTGGTTGAGGGGCGCTCTTGGGGGAAAATAGACCTTGACATATGCCAGTTGTAGTTACTGGGATGTATAGTTCACCTACAATCAAAGAGCATTCTGAACTCCACCAATGATGGAATTGAACCAAATATGGCACACAGAACTCCCGCAACAAACAGAAAATATATATCAGTGATTGGTTGGGGGGGGGGGGCATGCCAAAATACTTTTTGCTTACCGTTGAAAATTACCTAGGGCCGCCTCTGTTCCCAGCATCCCCTAGACCAGCCCTTTAGGAGAGGAGGATGATCCAAATGCACTGCTTCCAAGATGCAAGCGTTCTTCTCCTTGGATTTCTTTGAGAGCATCCCAACTCCTGCATGTTTCCCATTTCCTATTCGTGGACTGCAACTCCCAGCAATCCTCCAGATAGAAAGATTAGATAGAGATAAGTAAGTAGGCAGATGGATCAGGAGGACTTCTGGGAGTTGCAGTCCAAGAATAGGTAGAGAAGGAAGAACGGGGAGAAAGAGGGAGGGAAAGAAAAGGGGGGAAGGAAGGGAAGAAGAAGGAAGGAGAGAATGAAAGAAAAAAAGGGAAGGAAGGAGAGAAAGAAAGGAGGAGAGAAAGAGGGAGGGAAGGTTGGCCACAGCAACGCTATAATTTCATTCTCTCCTATCTTTCCCATCTCTCTTGTCTTCAGAAAAGCCAGCTGTGGATCCTTCTGCTGCCAAGCAGTGGACTCTTTCTGCCAGTGATATGAACGACGATGATGTGGTGAGTGCAAAAAGCAGGTTTTTTTCTCATATATGTCAGTATTATGGTTTCCACATGAGAAGTTCTGTATTTTATATATTTCTCTATGTTCTAATGCAGTGCTTCTCAACCTTCCTAATGCTGCGACCCCTTAATACAGTTCCACATGTTGTGGTGACCCCCAACCGTAACATTATTTTGTGGCTACTTCATAACTCTAATTTTGCTACTGTTATGAATTGTAAAATATCTAATATGCAGGATGTATTTTCATTCACTGGACCAAATTTGGCACAAATACACAATACACCCAAATTTGAATGCTGTGGAGGGTTTTTTTTTGGGGGGGGGGTTGATTTTGTCATTTGGGAGTTGTAATTGCTGGGATTTCTAGTCTACTTACAATTAAAGAGCATTCTGAACTTCACCCAAGATGGAATTGAACCCAACTTGGCACACGGACTGCTCAGGACCAAAAGAAAATACTGGAAGGGTTTGGTGGGCATTGACTGTGCGTTTTGGAGTTGTAGTTCACCTACATCCTGACTGCACTGTGGACTCAAACAACAATGGATCTGGACTGACCTTGACTTTTGGAGTTTCAGTTCACTTACATCCAGAGAGCACTGTGGACTCAAACAACAATGGATCTGGACCAAACTTGGCACAAATACTCAAAAAGCCCAAATGTGAACACTGGTGGAGTTTGGGGAAAACAAATCTTGATATTTGCAATTTGTAGATGCTGGGATTTATAGTTCACCTACAATCAAAGAGCATTCTGAACCCCACGAATGATAGAATTGGGCCAAACCTTCCACACAGAACCCCCACAACCAACAGAAAATACTGGAAGGGTTTGGTAGGCATTGAGCTTGAATTTTGGAGTTGTAGTTCACCTACATCCAGAGAGCAGGAGGGCTTTTGGTGGAAGGATTTGCCATCTGTTTCCAAAAATGAAGAGGAAGACAGGTAGAGAGATCTTCAGCTTTATTTGCCAAAGGGTTTCCTAAGACCAGAAATATGTGTTCTCTGATGCTCTTTGGTGACCCCTCTGAAATCCCTTCACGACCCCCTCAGGGGTCCCGACCCCCTGGTTGAGAAACACTGTTCTAATGGCCTAATCTGCACTGCATTGTTTTGAAGCAAAATATTGACAGGCTTTTGTGACACCAGTAAAGTAGGAACGACATTCCCAAAATGAAGAGGGCTTTTTGGAAACCTAAGTGTTTTGGTTCCCTAGACATCAGAGTCATTATTCATGACTTCATTTCAGGATCTTCTGGATTCGGATGAGCTTCTCGATCCAGAAGATTTGAAAAAGCCCGATCCAGCTTCCCTCAAAGCTCCGTCCTGCAAGGAAGCCGGAAAGAGGAAGGCCTGCAAAAACTGGTGAGTCCTGTTGTTCTTTCTCCCCCTTCTATGTAAACATTTCTAGAGCAGTACATGTGAAAAAGATCTTGGAGTCCTCGTGGACAACAAGTTAAACATGAGCCAACAATGTGATGTGGCGGCAAAAAAAGCCAATGGGATTTTGGCCTGCATCAATAGGAGCATAGTGTCTAGATCTAAGGAAGTAATGCTACCCCTCTATTCTGCTTTGGTTAGACCACACTGGAATATTGTGTCCAATTCTGGGCACCACAATTCAAGAGAGATATTGACAAGCTGGAATGTGTCCAGAGGAGGGCGACTAAAATGATCAAGGGTCTGGAGAACAAGACCTATGAGGAGTGGCTTAAGGAGCTGGGCATGTTTAGCCTGAAGAAGAGAAGGCTGAGAGGGATATGATAGCCATGTATAAATATGTGAGAGGAAGCCACAGGGAGGAGGGAGCAGATCAAAGGGGTCTGGAGAACAAGCCCTATGAGGAGCGGCTTAAGGAGCTGGGCATGTTTAGCCTGAAGAAGAGAAGGCTGAGAGGAGATATGATAGCCATGTATAAATATGTGAGAGGAAGCCAGAGGAGGAGGACTAAAATGATCAAGGGTCTGGAGAACAAGCCCTATGAGGAGCGGCTTAAGGAGCTGGGCATGTTTAGCCTGAAGAAGAGAAGGCTGAGAGGAGATATGATAGCCATGTATAAATATGTGAGAGGAAGCCACAGGGAGGAGGGAGCAAGCTTGTTTTCTGCTTCCTTGGAGACTAGGACGCAAAGGAACAATGGCTTCAAACTACAAGAGAGGAGATTCCATCTGAACATGAGGAAGAACTTCCTGACTGTGAGAGCCGTTCAGCAGTGGAACTCTCTGCCCCGGAGTGTGGTGGAGGCTCCTTCTTTGGAAGCTTTTAAACAGGGGCTGGATGGCCATCTGTCAGGGTGATTTGAATGCAATATTCCTGCTTCTTGGCAGGGGGTTGGACTGGATGGCCCATGAGGTCTCTTCCAACTCTTTGATTCTATGATTCTATGATTCTAAGGGGTGTGAACTCGTCGGTTTATCCAAAGACTCTTAAATATGGGATAGATAAGTAATGCAAAATTTATATTTCCATATAAACATTCCAAATCTAATTCAAGGCTGCTAATCCATCTATTGTCCAAGATTTCTTTTTAATGAGAGGCAGATAGGTAATGCAGAATATATTTATGGGCAGTAGTCATACTTTTTGGACAGCAAATCATATTGTTGTCCAATATTTCTTTAATTCTTTAGTTAAAGAATTAAATTAAAGAATTCTTTCTTTACTAATTCCATATAGCTTTCCCACTCTTCCTTGAAGTTATGTCGAAGGCACTTACAATCGATCCAAAATCTCTCAAAATTATATTATTATTATTATTATTATTATTATTATTATTATTATTATTATATAAATGCTCTGTGCATAATGAGTACCTGAAAAACAAAAGAACCAATGAACGAAATCACACCAAATTTGGCAACAAAACATCTCACAACACAAGGAGTGACCATCACTCAAAAAATATGATTTTGTCGTTTGGGAGTTGTAGTTGCTGGGATTTATAGTTCACTTATAATCAAAGAGCATTCCGAACTCCACCAATGATGGAATTGAACCACACTTGGCACACAGGCCTCCCATGACCAACAGAAAATACTAGCAGCATTTGGAGGGCATTGACCTTGAGTTTGGGAGTTGTAGTTCACCTACATCCAGAGAGCATTGTGGACTCAAACAATGATGGTCCTGGACCAAACTTGGCAAGAATACTCAGTATGCCCAAATAGGAGCACTGATGGAGTTTGGGGGAAATAGACCTTGACATTTGGGAGTTGTAGTTACTGGGATTTATAGTTCATCTACAATCAAAGACCATTCTGAATGAACCCCATGAATGACAGAATTGGGACAAACTTCCCACACAGAACCCCCATGACCAAGAGAAAATACTTAAGGCCATCCAGTCCAACTCCCTTCAGCAGGGCAAGAAAACATAATCAAAGCCCTCCTGACAGAGAGCCATCCAGCCATAGATATAGATAGATATGATTCACACACAGAGAGATATAGTATCATAGATTTGAAAGGGACCCCTAAAGAAGGACAATGATATCTTGCATGTTCCAGGGTGGGCAAACCAGGCAGTCTCTACGTCAACACTGTCAAAGAAACAGCAAAGAAGTACTGTTTACCCTCAAGCATAAAGACATTACATATATTAGAAACCAGCACTTTCTAATTACTTTATTTTCCAGATCACCAGACTGGGCCACAGTAATGTGTGGCATGGGACAGCTTATTTTTATATATATATATATATATATATATATATATATATATATATATACACACACATACACGCACGCACGCACACAAACGTATATATATATACATATACACAAATATATACACACGCAAAGCACGTATACACCACCTGGGCCACAGCAACATGTGGCAGGGGACAGCTAGTTATTATTAAAAAACAAAGTATGGATCGTTGATGTCGTAAAACTGTAATTCAACATAAGATCGTCCAACCCTTATTCAACCATTACTCTAACCTTCTTCAATGTAAATATGCTTACGTATCCTTCCAATAATAATAGAGTAAAATAATAAATGTAATAACAACAATAATAAAGTAAAACAACAAAAACAACAACAAAGTAAAATAATAAATAACCTTGACTTGAGTATAAGCCAGGGGAGACTTTTTCAACCTAAAAAAAGGACTGAAAAACTAGGCTTATACTCGAGTATATAAAATATAAAGCCTTTGACTGTGTGGATCATAATAAATTGTGGCAAGTTCTTAGTGGGATGGGCATCCCAAGCCACCTTGTCTCTCTCCTGAGGCATCTGTACAAGGACCAAGTAGCAACAGTCAGAACTGACCACGGAACAACAGACTGGTTCAAGATTGGGAAAGGCGTACGGCAAGGCTGCATCCTCTCACCCAACCTTTTTAACTTGTATGCAGAACACATCATGCGAGGATGTGCGGGGCTGGATGAATGCAAAGCTGGGGTGAAAATTGCTGGAAGAAACATTAACAACCTCAGATATGCAGATGACACCACTCTGATGGCCGAAAGCGAGGAGGAGCTGAGGAGCCTTCTAATCAAGGTGAAAGAAGAAAGCGCAAAAGCTGGGTTGCAGCTAAACGTCAAAAAAACCAAGATTATGGCAACAAGAATGATTGACAACTGGAAAATAGAGGGAGAAACCGTGGAGGCCGTGACAGACTTTGTATTTCTAGGTGCAAAGATGACTGCAGATGCAGACTGTGGCCAGGAAATCAGAAGACGCTTACTTCTTGGGAGGAGAGCAATGTCCAGTCTCGATAAAATAGTGAAGAGTAGAGACATCAGACTGGCAACAAAGATCCGCCTAGTCAAAGCCATGGTATTCCCTGTAGTAACCTACGGATGTGAGAGCTGGACCTTAGGGAAGGCTGAGCGAAGGAAGATCGATGCTTTTGAGCTGTGGAGTTGGAGGAAAGTTCTGAGAGTGCCTTGGACTGCGAGAAGATCCAACCAGTCCATCCTCCAGGAAATAAAGCCCGACTGCTCACTGGAGGGAAGGATACTAGAGACAAAGTTGAAGTACTTTGGCCACATCATGAGGAGACAGGAAAGCCTAGAGAAGACAATTATGCTGGGGAAAGTGGAAGGCAAAAGGAAGAGGGGCCGACCAAGGGCAAGAGGGATGGATGGCATCCTTGAAGTGACTGGACTGACCTTGAGGGAGCTGGGGGTGGTAACGGCCGACAGGGAGCTCTGGCGTGGGCTGGTCCATGAGGTCACGAAGAGTCGGAGACGACTGAACGAATGAACAACAACAACATATAAAATATGTTGGCATCTTTCCCAACTTTGTCATTCTGGAGGTTGTGCTCGATTTCGGCCACAAGGGGGTGCTGTCGCTCCATCCTCTATGAACAAAAGAGCCTTGCTCACAGACGTCCTCCTTATTTATTATTTATTTTATTTAGCAATTTTGTATACCGGTCTTCTCCCCTCTATCGGGGGACTCGGGCCGGTTTCCAACAATAAAATCACAAAACAATCATTAAAAACATCATATAACATATTCAATTAAAACATTATAATAGCAAAATGCAATCACATAATAACAATGGTTAGTCGTCATAATGAATTCGTTGTCCATCATTCATCGTCATCTATCCGATCACAGAAATATTGATTCACTCGTCGAAAGCCAAACCCCATAGCCAGGTTTTCACCCGTTTTCTGAACGACAGAATGGAGGGGGCAGTTCTGATCTCCAGTGGGAGAGAGTTCCAGAGTTGAGGGGCCACCACCGAGAAGGCCCTGTCCCTCGTCCCCACCAGACGTGCCTGAGAGGCCGGTGGGACCGAGAGCAGGGCCCCTCCAGACAATCTTAACAACCTAGATGGTTCATAGGGGAGGATACGTTCGGACAGGTAAATTGGGCCGGAGTCGTTTAGGGCTTTATAGGTTAACACAGCACTTTGAATTGTGCTCGGAAGCTAATTGGCAGCCAGTGGAGCTGGCGCAACAGAGGAGTAGTATGCTCCCTGTACCCTGCTCGTGTTAGCATTCTGGCTGCCGCACGTTGGACTAGTTGGAGCTTCCGGGCAGTCTTCATAGGCAACCCCACGTAGAGAGCGTTGCAGTAATCTAAACGGGATGTAACCAAAGCGTGGACCACCTGGTATTTCTTTTATGGCCCCTTTTATCACATCACCTCAGTGATTCCAGCCGTGAAAGCCTTCGATGATACAGTGAATGTGTTGCTAGATAAATGGTGACGAAACCTCTTTCTCCCCACAGTACCTGTGGCCTCGCTGAAGAGCTGGAGCAGGAAAAGAGGAGCGCGCAGCCCAAGTCCGCTTGTGGGAATGTAAGGGCTTTACTCTATTAAACTGTCCACTCTGATGGTTTTGCCTCTCCTTCTTCTGGAGCGTTTAGGATATAATGCCATTTGCAGAATGCCACGGTACACACGTCTACATATCCAACTTATTCCTTGGGTTGCAGCGTTTTCATCACATCAGAGCAGGCACTTTTTAATTGACTATTGACCCTGATGGCACGCCGGGTTAAACTACTGAGCTTACTGGTTCGAATCCAGGGAGTGGGGTGAGCTCCTGCTGTTAGCCCCAGCTTCTACCAATCTAGCAGTTTGAAAACGTGCAAAAGTGAGTAAATCAATAGGTACCACTCCAGCAGGAAGGTTTATTTATTTCATGTCAGGGCAGCCAGTCAATTATATTACATTTCTAACAGAACAAAGCAAACAAACAGACAAAATACAAAATGTGTGAGTTTGGTAGTTGATTAAATGTCCTTTGACTACTCCAGGACAGGAAAAACCCTCTGACTAAACACACCATTGATTGGAAAACAATCTTATTTATTTGTCGTGTCAGATCAACCAGTCAATTAAATTACATTTCTAACAGAACAAAGCAAACAAACAGATAAAATACAACATTTGTGAGTTGATTAAATGTCCTTTGACGGGTATCTGGCCACTTGGAGTGCTTCTGGTGTTGCTGCAAGAAGGTCCTCCCTTGTGCATGTGGCAGGGCTCAGGGTGCATTGCAGCAGGTGGGCAGTGGTTTGCTCTTCTCCACACTCGCATGTCGTGGATTCCACTTTGTGGCCCCATTTCTGAAGGTTGTCTCTGCATCTCGTGGTGCCAGAGCACAGTCTGTTCAGCGCCTTCCAAGTCACCCAGTCTTCTGTGTGCCCAGGGGGGAGTCTCTCATTTGGTATCAGCCATTGATTGAGGTTCTGGGTTTGAGCCTGCCACTTTTGGACTCTCGCTTGCTGAGGTGTTCCAGCGAGTGTCTCTGTAGATCTTAGAAAACTATGTCTAGATTTAAGTCGTTGATGTGCTGGCTGATACCCAAACAGGGGATGAGTTGGAGATGTCTCTGCCTTGGTCCTTTCACTATTGGCTGCTACTTCCCGGTGGATGTCAGGTGGTGCAATACCGGCTAAGCAGTGTAATTTCTCCAGTGGTGTAGGGCGCAGACACCGTGATAATGCGGCATGTCTCATTAAGAGCCACATCCACTGTTTTAGTGTGGTGAGATGTGTTCCACACTGGGCATGCATACTCAGCAGCAGAGTAGCAGAACGCAAGGGCAGATGTCTTCACTGTATCTGGTTGTGAACCCCAGGTTGTACCAGTCAGCTTTCGTATGATATTGTTTCTAGCACCCACTTTTTGCTTGATGCTCAGGCAGTGCTTGATGGTAGGAAGGCAATGGCGCTCCATGCAGTCATGCCAGTGGCCACATGACCTTGGAGGTGTCTATGGACAATGCCGGCTTAGAAATGGAGATAAACACTGAGTCCCAGAGTTGGACACAAATAGACTTATTTGGTCCAGATCAATCAAGTTACGGAGAATTTATTTATTTATGGCATTTATTCCATCCTTCTCACCCCAAAGGGGACTCAGAGCAGCTTTTGTGTGTGTGTGTGTCAGGAGTGACTTGAGAAACTGCAAGTCGCTTCTGGTGTGAGAGAATTAGCCGTCTGCAAGGACGTTGCCCAGGGGACGCCCGGATGTTTTGATGTTTTACCATCCTTGTGGGAGGCTTCTCTCATGTCCCCGCATGAGGGAGCATCGACACGATTACCCTCTCGGATTGGTATAGATGTATTTTTCTATATGTAATTTTAATCTGGCATGGTGTGTACATGCATATTGTGTATATGTGTGTGCTTGTTTATATGCATATTTGTGTGTGTTTGTGCATATTTATTTATTTATTTATTTATTTACTATTCTTGTATACCGCTGTATCTCAAGCCCGAGGGCGACTCACAGCGGTTTCCAAACAGCAAAAACAATAAAAACAGCAATAATTAATATACAATAACAGTTAAATTACACATTTCCATTAATAACTAATAAGCAATCATCAATACACAGTTATCACAAATCCCATCCCCGATCGCCTCATCATCCAAGCGTGATCCAAATTCGTCGTCCATTGTTCCGTTCCTATGTTCAAATTACCAAAATTGCACTGAATTACTCAAACGCCTGCACAAACATCCAGGTCTTCAACTTTCTACGGAATGTCATGAGAGATGGTGCCAGCCTAACGTCTACAGGAAGGGCGTTCCACAGCCGAGGAGCCACCACCGAGAAGGCCCTATCTCTCGTCCCCGCCAACCGTGCTTGAGAGGCTGGCGGGATCAAGAGCAGGGCCTCCCCGGAAGATCTCAAAGTCCGGGTGGGTTCATAGGCCGAGATGCGGTCAGATAGATATCTTGGGCCGGAACCGTTTAGGGCTTTATAGGCCAATACCAACACCTTGAATTGGGCCCGGTAGCAAATCGGCAGCCAGTGGAGCTGGTGCAACAGGGGGGTTGTGTGCTCCCTGCGCTCCGCTCCTGTTAGAATCATAGCTGCCGCGCGTTGGACTAATTGCAGCTTCCGGGCCGTCTTCAGGGGCAGCCCCACGTAGAGAGCATTGTAATAAACCACTGAGGGCCTTCTCAGTGGTGGCCCCCCGGCTGTGGAACGCCCTCCCTGTTGACATCAGACAGGCGCCCTCCCTTATGGCTTTCCGTAAGAGCCTAAAGACCTGGCTATTCGAGAAGGCATTTAATTGAGAGCTACACGAATCTGGTAATGACACCTGGAACGGACTATGGATTATGAGACTGGCTACGATTCTATGTTGTGACGGTGCGGATTTGTTAGTGTGATTTAGATTAATGTGTAATATGGTTAGGTTGTTATATTGTGTATTTTTGTAAACTGTTTTTATATGTTGTACACCGCCGCGAGTCGCCCCAGGGCTGAGAGCGGCGGTCAACAAATGCAGGAAATAAATAAATAAATAATTAAATAAATAAATAAACGTAGTAATAATAATAATAAACGTAATAATAAACGAGGAGCTGGAGCTGACAGGGGGGAGCTCACCCACACTCTCCCCAGATTCGAACCTGCAACCTGTCAGTCTTCAGTCCTGCCGGCACAGGGTTTAACCCACTGTGCCATCGGGGGCTCACAAGATGTATATACATACAATATACTATATTATTAGCATAGTACAATATCAGAAAGTATTTATTTGTGTGTAGAGCCGTGATGGCGAACCTATGACACATGTGTCAGTACTGACACGCGTAGCCATTTCTACTGACACGCGCTCGCTGGATATTATTTGTTTATTTATTTTATGCCATTTTAAAAAATAGATAGGAAAGAAAGTAACTTATTCCATAGAGAGAAACCCAGGCTGCAGTAAGCCTCCATAGAATCAATTCCGCGCATGCGTGGAAAGGGGCCTCTTCCCTACTGCTCGCAAAAGCAGGCTGAAGTCCTGCCCACTCTTCATTCAAGTAAAAGCCACCTGGAAAGAAGGGCCCGCCCATTTCAAACATTCCTGAGTATTTAGGAAACATTGCAAAAATATTTAATTATTAATATTTAGGTAAGATTGCAAAATAATATTGGTTTATTTAATTATTAAGTAAACGAATATTATTTTGCATTTTTTCAAATATTAAGGAGTTACATATTTAAATTAAATTAAATGATAAATAATATTACTTTTCTATATTACTCAAATATTTCAGAATGTCTTAAATGAAATGGTAAATTGAATTTTTATTTGACATTTAATTTAATGCATTTTAATTTAATGTATTTTTAATATTTTAATATATGCCACACACACACATATATATATGCCTTAAATGAAATGGTAAATTTAATATCAAAATATTATTTTGCAATGTTACTTTATTATTATTGCATTATTATTATTATTATTAGAAATACATTAAACAGCATATTAAATGCTAGAAATACATTTAAATTAAATTAAAAATAAATAATATTTTGTTGGGTTTTTTAAATTATATTTTTATTAAACACTCCAAAAAGGATATTATTTACATAAAGAGAGAAAGTGGGAATTACAATTATATATTTTTTGTTATTTAAACTAAATATTGCGAAATTATGGTTGGTTTCTTGAAGTGACACACCACCTGAATTATGCTTGGTTTTTTGGCGAATTTTGACACACCGCGCTCAAAAGGTTGCCCATCACTGTACTATACCATTATATTGTAATATCATTAGTAATATTACATGTAATATAAAATATATAATTATAATATTGTATTAGTAGTAGTAGTATATTGTATTACATTATAATATTATACATATATGTATATACAATATATTATATTACTAGTAAAGTACAGGAGACAAGATGGAGCAAAGAGAAGCCTTTGTCGCACAAACAACAAACAGAGAAACGCTAACTTTTAGGTGGAGAGAGGGATAAGCTGCATCTCACTTGGAAATAGGAAATGTGACCTGTCTGGGCCTTTCTCTTTTCTGCAGTGTTACCTGGGCGACGCCTTCCGCTGTGCCAGCTGCCCTTACCGAGGGATGCCGGCCTTCAAACCGGGAGAGAAGATCCTCCTGAACGAGAACAGCCTCCACGACGCATGAAAGAGGGACCGTCCCAAGCCTCTTTTGGGTCTGCAGCCTTCTTTTGCTCACTGGGAAAACATCTAGACAAGGAAATAGAGACTTCAATGGGAGGCAAGGCAAAGAAGACACGTGCTAGCCTGAAAGGAAGGACTTAGTAGTTAGTGTCTTAGTAGCTGACAATTCAGAATATTCTCCAAATATATACATTTATGAACATCTGTGTTGGTGATGGTTGTCATTCACTTTTTGGGCCCTCCAGGTGTTTTGGACTTCAACTCTCACTAGCAGATTTCAGTAGGGATCCCATCAGGTCCGCTGGCTTTGTTATTTTTTTTGGTGGCTGACGGCATTGCTGACTTCTTCCAAACTAGGCAGTACTGCAAGCTCATCTCTAGTTTATTGTTGCAGGATTTGTGAGAGAACCTCTTTGGCCACATTGGAGCTGTGATTCAGCCAGTAGGCTGTTAGGAATTGTGAGAATTGAAGTCCAAAACACCCGGAGGGCCCAAGTTTGCCCATGCCTGCTTCTAGGAGTTGGCTGTCGTAATCTGCTTCGGATTTGCCAACGATTGTATCATCTAGGGACTCTAGGCCCTTCTTTTGCCTTATTGAGCCCACACTGTTGCTTGTAAAAGGGTGTTATGCCAAATCCAGCACAGGAAAGCATCATGCAATGAATGTGTGGGATCAGTTATGAGGTTACCGTTGCACAGTCCACGTTTCATCTCCATCTGGTGTCACTGGAATGGTATGAGGATCAAAAATTAAAGTCTCCCAAAACAAGCTATGGTTTTCTTTTGCCTTTCCCAGTTAACATTTCACATCTACTTGTTGGGATTTCACATCTACTTGTTGGTGATGCATCTGCAAGCAGTAAATTGAGAATTTCTAGGAAAAAATGCATACACAAATACTCATATGTGTAGGGAAGGAAGTCTCCTGCATCAGAATTCAAGAGTTCAGCAAATAAATGCATCAGAACCCATAGATCGAAAATTTGTGTCGTACACCAGAGCAGGAACATCTTTGATCTTAAACACCACACCGGCTTGGTAAAATCAGCAAGCAGTTTATTGAAGAATATAAGTAAGCAAAGCAGTAAAATTAGCAAAAATAATAAAGTTCCAAAAACAAAGATTAGTCCATGCACTTCAGGACAAAATAATATCCATAGGTACAAGAATCCACAAAACAAGGCACAAAAATCCATGAAACAAGGCAACATGAAAAATCAGGGGCTTGGCAAAACTTGGTACATGAAACGAAGAACATGTTGCATCCCAGATCAAGAAACGAGACCATAAGATTAAATCCACCACACTGGACTGTAGGAAAAAACAATCCTTTTTTATTGATGAAAAATTGGTTACAAAAGAAAGTTAAATGCAAAGTCAAAAAGCCACAATAGAAACACAGCAGTCAGGAAAATCTCTGAACTTGAGCAAAATTCCAAAAACCACAATACAAGAACCAGGAACCTGTTAGCCTCTCGCTAACCATGTCCTTGAAAACTAGAAGCCTCTGGGATTACCGGCCATGGAACACAGGAATTCTGCCAAGGCACAGCCACAGTCCCAAACGTTGCTTGATCTAAAGAGGCACTCGGCAGGAGACCCCTTAAACCAAAGAAACTATTCCTTGAAACGCCCCTTGACTTTGAAGCCTGGGCCTGTCTCTCCTGTAATCTATTTGACCTTCGTAGAAACTGTGAATCACTCCTGTCTCTAGCTATCTGTTCCCTTCGGTCCTCATTAAAAAACCCAGTTGGAGAGCTATCACGGCTGGATTCCAAAACATTTTCATCCGGCTGTTCAGTTTCGCTTTCCCCGCCACTGACCTCAGCATCAATAACAGTTTCCACACTGTCAGGGCTTGCTCAGTTGGAAATACTATCAGAGAATCAGGTTCACACAGATCAGGCTGAACCCCAACAGAACACTTGAAAGCAAGACTCTCATGAAATTCCAACGTTGACCCGACTGAGGCATCTCTCTCCCATGAATCAATATAAAGCTTTTCCAGATTCCAAGAACCAGAAGAAAAGCATTTCTCCTGCCCTTACAATCAAATAAGGGTTTCTTATCTCTCTTTTCATGTAAACAAACTGATATTTGAGCCTGAGCACTCTGTCTTTGTTTACAAAAGTCTTACTTTCTGTCTACACCCTGCACCTGACAAATCATCTTCAAACAGTTGCTCTGAGAAAGACTGTGATGGGCCTCTCCCAGGAATGTGGCCTTGTGAATCTTCCTGAGACAGCTCGGGTCTCTCATCTGAGCTTAACTCAGGCCCAGGCAAATCTTCATCCCCATTGCTAACAGACCCTGGCCCAGAAAACCTTTCATCCTCATTTCCATCAGGAACATCATCCCCGTTCCCATCATGTGTTGCACTCCAGAACAGGAAAAACCCTCTAACTGTAAACACCACACTGTTGATTGGAAAACAATCTTATTGAATGTATTTTCGAAGGCTTTCATGGCCGGAATCACTGGGTTGTTGTAGGTTTTTCAGGGCTATATGGCCATGTTCTAGAGGCATTCTCTCCTGACAAACCCATTGTCCTAATGTCAACAGACCTCACTACCTCTGAGGATGCTTGCCATAGATGCAGGCGAAACGTCAGGAGAAAATGCCTCTAGAACATGGCCATATAGCCCCGAAAAACCTACAACAACCCAATCTTATTGAATATAATTAAAAAGCAGCAAGTAAAAAGCACTTTAAAGAAATAGGTAAACCCAATTAGGTTTGAAGATAAGCAGGAGAAAAAATAGTCCAGGTATAAGTTCAGCGAAGTCCATAAAAACAAAGTCCACTCTTCTCTAATATAATCCAGGAAACATTAATCCAGGGCATGAGTAGGCATTCATACATTCCAAGAATCCAAACCATGAACAAGAAGCAAAGCTTCCATGAAACAAAGGACGAGAACTACACCTGATTCCAATGATGCTTCATCTGACTATGTTTACCATACTTGGAACTTTTTATCCCCTCGTTAAGCTATTCCACACACGTAGGAATTGGTTTCATTTTACTTGAGATCCCCTTATCTTTTTCTCTCGGAGCCTGGCAGAACGTTGAAGGCACTGTTCGGCCTGTCTGTTTTGACTAATTTCCTTTCGCCTATCTATTTGCCCATTAAGTCTCACAGCTGGGCCAGGTGCCCAGTTGTTTTCAAGCGCCAAATCCTGGGAACCCTCTGGTCGCAATTCAGAGAGTACACCATCATTCTCACACCCTTCAGGGACATTCTCATGGGAAACTACACTTTGCACAGGGGTCTCCTGGTCCTTCTCTGCATCAGTATCATTGACCAAACCCTAGGCTTTTGTAGTCCGACATTCGAAGCACTACACCACACAATATCCTACCTATTGTTGTTCTGCCAATGAAACTGCATGATAGTTTTATCATAAGTTGGAAAAGACTTGGAGGCACAAAATGACAACATTGCAGCGAATGCACAAAAATAGTCCCAACAAAATTGCATTGATGACATCAATTGATCTGTGGATTCCACCCATTTAAGGTGGATTCCGGTGTCAAACAGGGATGTGTTATTGCCCCAACTTTATTCTCCATCTTCATCGCTATTATACTTCACCTTGTTGATGGGAAGCTTCCCACCAGAGTGGAAATCATCTATCGGACAGATGGCAAGCTATTCAACCTCAGCAGACTGAAAGCCAAAACCAAGGTTACAACAACATCTGTTATAGAACTCCAGTATGCTGATGACAATGTCGTCTGTGCGCATTCAGAAGAAGACCTTCAAGCCACTCTAAACACCTTCGCAGAAGCATACGAGAAGCTTGGCCTGTCATTGCACATTGAAAAAACCAAGGTTCTGTTCCAGCAGACACCAGCCAATCCCTCTCCAATGCCAGTGATACAGCTTAATGGTGTAGCATTAGAAAATGTTGATAATTTCCGCTACCTTGGCAGCCACCTCTCCACCAAAGTCAACATTGATACCGAAATACAACACCGCCTGAGCTCTGCGAGCGCAGCATTTTTCCGAATGAAGCAGAGAGTGTTTGAGGACCGGGACATCCGTAGGGATACCAAGGTGCTTGTCTATAAAGCTATTGTCCTCCCAACCCTGCTCTATGCCAGTGAGACGTGGACTGTCTATAGACGTCACATGCAACTCCTGGAACGATTCCATCAGCGCTGCCTCCGGAAAATCCTGCAAATCTCTTGGAAATCTCTTGGAAAGACAGGAGGACAAACGTCAGCATGCTGGAAGAAGCAAAGACCACCAGCATTGAAGCGATGGTCCTCCGCCACCAACTCCGCTGGACCGGCCATGTTGTCCGGATGCCCAACCACCGTCTCCCAAAGCAGTTGCTCTACTCCGAACTCAAGAACGGAAAATGGAATGTTGGAGGACAGGAAAAGAGATTGAAAGATGGGCTCAAAGCCAACCTTAAAAACTCTGGCATAGACACTGAGAACTGGGAAGCCCTGGCCCTTGAGCGCTCCAGCTGGAGGTCAGCTGTGACCAGCAGTGCTGCAGAATTTGAAGAGGCACGAACGGAGGGCGAAAGGGAGAAGCGTGCCAAGAGGAAGGCGTGTCAAGCCAACCCCGACCGAGACCGCCTTCCACCTGGAAACCAATGCCCTCACTGCGGAAAAAGATGCAGAGCAACAATAGGGCTCCACAGCCACATACGGACCCACAAGAATATTGGAAGACAATCATCCTCAGAAAACAAGGGATCGCCTAAGTACTGTGGATTATACCCGACTTCTCACTTCATCTCTAATACAGCTTCTCAGCCTCAAAACAAAGGTGTTTCTGAACACGTACAGAGTTTTTTTTAACAACCAGATAGCAGCAGCACGTTATCTTTCTGGCAAAATGGGTTAAACCCTTGTGCTGGCAGGACTGCGGTTGACAGTTTGAATGCGTGGAGCAGGATGAGCTCCCACCTGTCAGCCCTAGCTTCCTGTGCGGGGATGTGAGAGAAGCCTCCCACAGGATAGTAACACATCCAGGCGTCCACTGGGCAATGTCCTTGCAGATGGCCAATTCTCTCACACCAGGAGCAACTTGCGGTTTCTCAAGTCGCTCCTGACACGACCAAAAAAATAATAATTTAATACATATGTTGATAGAATGTTTG